TTTTTTGTTTTAATAGTTTTTCTTGGAAGTTTCACTTTGATTAAATAAATTAGTTAAAAATTATTTAACGTTTGGAAAATATATTTTATTATTTATAGTTGAATTTTTGCACTATGCTTAAATTCATATTCAATAAAACGAAGAAGTAGAAAGTTGTAAACAATAAAATATCATTGTTTTCATGTTGTTTTTAAAATATGTGCAGTCTCTTGTGCTCGCCGTCGCCGATGGAGGAATTTCAAAGGGTGGAATTAGTGATCATATCAAATTCATAAATTTGGCCCCCCCCAAAATAAAAATTATGGCTGCGGAACGAGCCGAAAGACTGTACAGACAACCAAATGGGGTTGGTATCTCCTGGGTAAACATTGATTTCGTACAGGTTTAGTGTTCATGTTACCTTTCATCGAAAGGTTCGTCAAGGTGGACATTCGTCTCAGCACGTACGACGTACCACCACAGGAGGCAAGGGATCGTGTAAAATGGCTAATATTACGCATGACCTTGCATGATCTTTACTTTGTCACTAGTATTAGATTCCCCTACTTTATTCATTATTTTCACAATTCGAAACAAAATTACATACACTACATATTTTGTATATATTGTGTAAATATATTTTGTAAATTTGGGAGAAATGTATGTACCGACATTAATTATTACATCGGGTCACCCGACAAGAAAATTCCAACCTCGATGTACCTCGAAATATTTGAGGTTTTAGTGATAATAAGGAAACAATAAATTGTAGACTGACTTATAATTGGTATTTTAGTTACTATTATTAGACTAGATTAAACTAGACAATTACAACTTACCAGATTTAGGTACCAAACTTTTAAAAATTCGATCAAAATAATAATTACATTGTACATATATATTTATAAGTTATGGTTTTGCGTGTATTAAATTAGTTTTTAAAAAGAACACTATTTATTACACAGTAAGGCAATACAAAACTGGATTAACCAATTCCAATTAGGGAATCTTCGGTCTATGCTCGATGAAAGGCCGGAACGGTTTCATTAAAAAATATTAATATTAGCAAAGGCTTGGGGGATGTAACAAAGGAGGGGTTTGTTGGAAGTGAACACGTATATTTATATATATAATATGTAAAAATATGCACAAATGAAGTTATATTACAAGTGGGTGGAATCTTTTAGTTGTCAGTTTTACATATTAATCGAAGTTTCACGTTTTTTGACGTTTAATGATTGAGTCATTGTCTAAAAAAGTAAAAATATGTAAATTGCTATGGAAAATGAAAAAACAAAACAAAAACAAAAAAGGGTAGATAAAATTTTGTTTTAGATTTTCAATTAACATTTCAATATTGCGTATTTCCTCTTCTTGCCTTAATTACATCTCGAAGACGTCTCAGCATACTTTCTACCAGTCTGGAAATGTCTCTTTGCTGGAGGTTGCTCCATTCTTCACGAAGAGTCCTTTCGAGGTCGTAGAGTGTATCAGGAAGTTATGAACGTTTTTTGAGGTTATCCCTTAATATTCGATTCAAGTCGAGAAAATGCGTTCGCCGGGCTAAGACCCTGACGTTATGCTGTTGAATTTGTACGATGCGAGCGACATGTGGAGGACATTATCGTGCATTAGATAAGGATTGACGCTGATTTCATCTAGGATAGACAACGCATAATGTTCCAAAATTTCATCCACATATAGAGTGGCTGTCTAAGACCCTCCACGACCAACAACCAACTGTGTGCGACCCTCCATTAAGATTCCCGCCTACACCACCATTGAGCTACTTTGAAAAGACTGGCTCAGGGAAAAAATTACAGGTTTCGTACCTTTCATTTCGCCTCCTCCACACTCTTTCACGCCCGTCTGGAGATCGTAGAGCAAATCTACACTCATCCGTAAAAAGTACAGCAGACAAATCGTCCAAAGACCAATGGCTGTGTGCTCGAGCAAATGCGAGCCGTGCATCTCGATGTGTTTTGTTCAATTCTGGTCCTCTTACGGGGCGAAAAGCCATAGTTTAAAAATTGGAATTAAGAAAACAAAGATAAAAACTAAACTAAAACTAAACTCAGAATTCAAATGAGACTGAATAAACGTTTTAAATTCTGTAAAAAGTAAACATTGAAAAATCCTTTATCCTATACTTTTTAAAAGGATAGTTCCTACTCACAGTAAGTTGTTTTGCAACGACCCGGATTTCGAGCCTTTTAGCTCATCATCAGGTTGAAGGACTTCTACAACCACGTCTCTCGACATGAATGGCCAAAGTGAACCCGCTGATACCTCCGCCAACGCGACGTTCCTATTATCAGCTGATTTTTTTAATGACGCTCAATTTGAACGTGCGAAACGCGGAAATTATAACACAAATAAATATTAGAATAATAAATACTTAATATTACTATAAATTACTATAAAAATAATAACAATTAAAATAATTAGATTAATTATTTGAATGTTTGATATTATTTATGTACATATTTAAAATGGGAGGTAGATCAAAATCTGTTATATTATTAATGCATTTATCACCATATTCAATTTTACATTTTTTAATTTCAAATTTCTCAAACCAATCTAGTTCTTTCCCTTTGTTGAAACTATGTAATACTCTTGTATTTAAATTTGAATTGAAATTATGTTTTGTTTCTTTTAGATGGTCCTTAAATTCCGAAAATTTGCTCGATTTAGGCAAGTGTTCTTTTACTCTTGTTTTTATTTCTTTACAGCTTTGAACACTTAAAAACAAGGCAATAATATCAAACATCCAAATAATTATTTTAATTGTTATTATTTTTATAGTAATATTAAGTATTTATTATTCTAATATTTATTTGTGTTATAATTTCCGCGTTTCGCACGTTCAAATTGAGCGCCATTAAAAAGATCAGCTGATAATTGGAACGTCGCGTTGGCGGAAGTATCAGCGGTTCACTTTGGCAATTCATGTCGAGAGACGTGTTTGTAGAAGTCCTTCAACCTGATGATGAGCTAAAAGGCTCGAAATCCGGATCGTTGCAAAACAACTTACTGTGAGTAGGAACTATCCTTTAAAAAGTATTGAATACCACACTCACTCCATCATTTATCATTTCTATCCTTTATCCTTGTTTTCGATTAAGGATTAAATGTATTTACTTCTAATTGATATTCCAAATTTATGGTAAAAACAATAAGGTAGAATTAAAGGCAGAATTTTCTTTTATAGAAAAAATGAAGAAATCAATTGGGTGGAATATATATATGCTTTCACTTTAGACCTCCATAGCAAATTAGCCATTGTGTCGAAAAATGAAGTTATTTTTTGACGTACGGAAATTTCTAGATTGAAAGGGATGAAATAAGACGGAATGTGTCGTTTTTTCAGGCTTTTTAACCGACATTACTTGGTTGAGCTTTATTTGGTTTAAAGTTGAGAACTGATATCGTTTTTCCGTTTTCAATAATCTATTCAGTGCAGCTTTAAACATTCGGATTTATTTTTACACTACTTTTCACTTTGGACATATATTGCGATTTACTTTACGTCTGTTAAATGGTCTAATGAACAATAAAAATGCCTACTAAGTATTTTTGTCTTCCAGCTAGTAGTTGGGCGCCTAGGGGAGGATCTAGGGGCCCATTTGGACGCATACGACAGGCAAAAATGGCAACGTGATTAAGCAAGCTCAAGTAGGACAAAGGGAATGGTTTGTTTATTATTTTGTTGTGTTTGAGTTGTAGCCGTTATTGGGTGCTATGATTTGAATGATTTTTAATTCATTCTTACATATCTTTCGTATTTCAGTCCTGCCATTTTATGTCGGTAAGGGTGGTTTGAGCCGGCAACGATGTCAGTTGCTGTCTGTTTTCTGTATGTCAAATTTTAGTTTGTCTTCTGCTTTTGTGAATGTCAAGTCTAGCAGGTTTATACTAATATTTGTTTCTCTTTCTACGTTCTGAAGATGCTTAATCGCGTTTGAACAAACAAAAATCAGCGAGGATAGGTTGAGCAGATGATAGGTAACTGTAAAACAATAAGATCTAGAATAGTTTATACTTGTACGATGTCTACCTGCCTATGTAGAAAGAAATATTACTCTTGACACTTATTAAAATATTTAACTATCAGTAACAATTAAAAAAAAATGATCAAAAATATAAGCATTATTGTCTCGCTAAACAATTATTCTGAAGATTTATGATATTCCAAACATTGTATCAATAGGATCTTGTAAGAGTGACCACGTCGATACTTCATTACACTACAAATGAATTAAAATTACGAAATACAAGATTACAAAGGATATGGTATAAAATTTATGGACATAAACGTACACTAAATTAAACGAGTATGAAATATCGATAATTTTATGAGTCTATCTCAGTGTTTTTTCTCATTTATATCCCAAAATGTAAGCTCAAAGATCAATTTTAGATTTTAGAATTGAACAAAGTGAACAATGAAACAATGTAGAGCAAGATAGACCATCTCTAATAAAAAAACAACTTTTCAGGTTAAAAGTTGTATCGTATCATACATTATTTTTTAACAACAAATATTTTCACAATTAAAATGATGTCAAAGATATTATTTAATGACGTCTATTTGTAAAATGGCAAAATATTTATAAAAAAATATATATCATCGTTTTTCAGATAGATAGATTTTGTCGCTGACAAATAACTGTATAAAAATTGTGTCAATTTTTTGTTTAGATTTTTCTATAGGCTATTTGTTTCTCTAATATTTTAATATATAGGCGATAACTTCTAACATTTCTTTGAGCTCGTTGATACCTCTTGAGTAAAATCCCGTCAGAGGGTTTGGCTTGGCTTATCGACTTAATCCGACCTCGAAGGAGTACAAAAGCGTACTCAAAAGGTAATCTTCGTAGAATCATCAGCGTATCTTGAAATATCCTCGACTAAAACCCCTTATTATCTAATAACAACTCCCTTGGCGTCTCAACTTGAAAAACTATACGTTTCGAACGTCGAAAATAACTGTTTCTTTGTTTTTCTGTTCTGTCCAGGCATATTCTTTATATTACCGTGCATTGATAACTATGCACGGGTTGATCTCCGAACAAGGACGTACGACGTGCCTCCACAGGAGGTAAGATTCTTGTGGATTTATTTAAATTGATTTTCCTCTTTTTTTTTTTTACATATATTTCAATTTATTACTTTCTCACGCTGAAATTTTGATGTCATATTGCACTACACGCATTAGAGCGATTAAAGCTACAAACACGCCTTACATCACGGTTAGAAATAATATTCAATGCAACATATAACCACGCTCTGCTACCACTTATAAAATACAATATAAATTTAAAAAAAATCTTATAAAATTATCTTTATAAAACGTCCTCAGAGAAAAAACGAGAGCGCAAACCTCAAAAAAAGACAAGCCACCTTTCTCGTCGCCACGCGTTCCTTGTCTGCCCGAGCCACCGCGCATCAAGCGAACTCTCGTGCACTCGCGCTCCAATTTGAAAGTGATTATAAAAATTCCCAAAAAGCAAAAAAAAAGAAAAAAGTCTTTAACTGGCGAGTTGGTAGCTAATTAATGTTATAACAAGTGGACGTTTTCTGGATTCAGCGGCCTTTTTTTACGGAGGGAAGAGATCTTTCTGGACGTCGGACTGCACAACCGGCTTCATACGAGTTCGACAACTATTTGCCTTGGACTTTCAACGAGCTACAGGGTAATCACTTCTCCAGAGAAAATTTTATTTTCATTTGTTCACCTTTGTCAATTGATTTTCTTTATTATTGCCGGCACAATGTTTTTTTGTTTTCTTAATTTTTATAAAAAGGCCTTAATCAGTATTGTTCATTTTTAAATATAGAAAAGATACTTATTTTGTAATTATTTTATTTTAATTTTCAAAAAAGGGAATTTATTCTGTTTTGTTCATTTTTATTTTTTCAAAAAATAAAAAAAAGGTGTTCATTTGTATTTAATTGCTGTGGTTATTTTTATTTCATCTCAAAAAGCCTGAAACAACTGTCCTGATCCCACCACGACAATTTTATAAGATTTTTTATATTTTTATTTTAAATTTATATTGTATTTTATAAACAAAACTTTTAAAAAAATTAAATATCTGTTTAAAATTATATATCTTCGATATGAACGCCATATATGTTCCCTCACAAACTATTTTCTCGAGAACACTGGAGAATTTATTCTGTCGTTTGCTAATTTCAAGTGTTATTTGTGTTTCAAGCTTTTTTTAAAGAATTATAAAGAATTTCTTATATTTAAGGGTAAGGTCATCAATTATTGACTCTTTAACCTAATTTTTTAAATAATTTTTTTATTAATTAACCTATCTTTATTTTTCAATTTGTTCATACTTGTCCAGGTTTATTTTACATATTTCGCATATAATTATTGCCAAAACACTAAAATTGTCTATTTTTTTAGCTGAATATCGTTGACGAGTTTTTTCATCAATTTTTAACATGCAAAACCTAATTATCGACTGGGAGACTAACCTATTATTGACGTGTTTTTGACAGAGAAAGGAAGCAGTTATTAACACCATAACATCATATTCAACTATCGAACGAGTTTATTTTGAACAAAATATATTTATTTATATCAAGTCTTTATTTATTGATTCAAAATTGTCACCCAATAGATTGTAAACACTTTTAAATTTATTACAGTTTATAATCTGTAACTAATTACTTCAAAATAGTCTGAGAAAGAATATTACCTAGGCAATTTATAAATTCGTAGTTACACTTTGGTGCATTTTAATAGATTTTAAAGAATTAGCAAATAAAAATATTTGATTTTTCTTTCTTAAATACTAGAGGCTTTGGCATTTCGGTAAATACGTTCTGTCGTTTGACTGATATCATCATCAGTTGGGAAAATAGTGTTTATTCTGTTACAAATGAAAAAATAACTGTAGTAAGCACATAAACGAGTCCTATAAAATACCCAGTTATTGACAGACAAAATGTTGGAGCTTCAGCGACCTCGACGATAGTTACCAGATGTGGTTATGACATATTACCAAAATCACCAAAAAAAGTTTGGTCCGAATCCGTAACCCATCAACCAAGTCGTTCCCTTGTAAGTTAGATACAAGAAAAACGGCGCTTTACGATGTTAAACCCGCACGACCGATCCATCATGCGTGTTTTAATATATTCAAGCGCCTTGTTGAAGGAGAATTTTTTACTTTCGGATTTCTTTCATTTGGCGAAATTCGTGCTTCGCACTCACATATTTTCTCAGCTTCACGGATAAACATGAAATCATGTATACGTTTTGGCGAGTGAATTCGTAAAAATTCATCCACACAATGAGATTAAATACCTTTCTTTCCTTTTTATTGGGACCAGCCTCCTTTTTTTGTAAACAAATAAAGATATATAAAAAACGTTAAATTATAACTCCCCCTCGTCATTTACAAAGAGGAAGGGAATGGAAGAGACACATTTTTTTTAAATAATAGTAGAGAGGTATGGTCTTTTTTGCTTTTATCCTCTTCTTTTCGCATTCAAGTTTTCGGTATGGGTTAATTGGATATATGTGAACATTTAAATAGCCCACAATTCATAGTTTTTTTTAGATACATTCTAAACAAAAACATTAAATAATAAAATAAACTGAGTAAAATAATTTTACCAAAAATGTTGCTATGGAAACAATGAAAATAATATTCAATTTTCCTCCCCTTGCGTTGATCACCGCTTGCATTCGACGTGGCTTCGATTTTATAAAGTTTTGAATGTATTACTGTGGAATATTTTCATACTCCTCCAACAGCGTCTTTCTTAATTCTTGTAAATTGTCTGGTGAGAACATCGCCGACTTTTTACCCTCTTTGACAACTCGTCTTAAACATTTTTGATAGGATTTATGTCTCGCTACGCCAAACATTGAATTGAAGCCCGTTCTAAGCAGTCACGGACGGTTGGGGCGTTGCATTGTCATGCATAAAAATAAAACCTTCCCCAATTAGTAACGTATAAGAACAAACTTCTGATAACACAACTTCAATATATCCTGCAGTTGTTAGGTAACCCTCGATGAAGATCAAGTTTGTGCGACCTTCCATATAAATGTCAGCCCAAACCATAACACCATCACTTCCATAACTTCTCCGGAGTGAAAGTGCTGAGGAATATATCGCCTCCTATTCTTCTCCAAACTCTCGGCGGTCAGAAGATTGAAACGACTTGACTCATCCGAAAACAAGATTTTAGTCCAATAACGTAAATACACAAATGATCGTCGAACAGACTATTCTAATTTGGTGTAATTTAAAAAAATAAAATAAAGAAATACAGCTTTTAATGCAACTTTTAAGCACACTTTTTCTATGCAAAGTAAGTAAGAAAATGGTCAACACTTCGATATGACCTTATGGACGTGATTTTAGCGTTATAAAAGCGTCCAACCAAATTTTGCGGAAATCGGTGTAAATAAATTTTTTGATTGAAACTTGCGACGAACTTTCTCCTTCACTGACATTCCTAGTGCAAGCTCTAACATTTTTTTTTAAAGCTAGTGGATCGATTTTCATGGTTGACAATTTGTTTTAAATAAATTGTTGAGTGTATTATATAACACTTTTAGATATTAAAATCAGGCTATTATTTCTATTTAATAAACGAGGTTCATTTCTGATAAATAATTTTGCTATTTTCCGTACTTTTTTATAGAAATCTTTTATACGTTTTTGTGGTATACATATGTAATTGAAAGGCTGCCTTCCTCCGTTGAAAATGGTTTGTTTGAAGTTAAAATCCTTTTAGTTGTTTTTGACTTATAGAGGTTTCAATAAGATATTCCGATGACTTCTTAAAAATTGGAAAAATTTTAGGGTTTAAAAAATCAATAAATTTAAATTCAAACAAAAATTTATATTAAGGGATTTCTAGAGGTGCTAATACAAAATTTCTTATTAACTGTATGAAAAAAATTATGGCCGTTTACTTGAAAAATATTTGGTTTTTAGAAATATTTGGGTTATTGATAGCTTTTATTTTTTTATTGCAATCTAAATAAAAAATGCTATAAAATGATATATTACCATATTTGATTTGAGTTGAACGGGGAAATAAAAATATCAAAAAACGGAAAATTTCAACGTTCATAATTTTGTTTTGGCGAAACCAGTGCGTATTCACAAGAAGTAGCGGGATACGTGTCCAATATTTTGGAGTGTAAAATCACCAAAAAAAGTTTTGTCTGAATCCTTGGCCAATTGACCTCGTAAACTAATTTACTTGTGAGTAGTGTTGGTGCATAGATGCGATGTAGTGTTGCGGTTGTGCTGGAAAGACTGATGAAGTCGAGCCCACTGATGCTGCGGTGCGGGAAGATGTCAAGCGCGCAGTCGTGCATCGGGAGGTAAAATACAACTGATTGTAGTGTGGTGAACGAATAACAATACCTCCCGTATTATTGAACTAAACATAAACTAACAAAAAATATTACTACCTGAAACATCTAACTTTAAAAATTTGTCTTCTTGGTCTTCTGGTCACTTGATTGAAAGAATTTTTATTTTATTTTTGTTGTTTGGCAATGTTATTTCTATGTAAATGACACATGCACAACAAGGGCGGACCTGTAAACGTTGGTGCTCACATCAACCTAAAATGTAAATATTTGGCATAAATAACAACGAGACAAACAAACTGTTAAAATAAAAATAAATATAATTTAAATTCAGACAAAATGTACAGCTAATAAATTAATAATATAAATTATAATAACGGCACAGCTTTAAATTTAGCTGATTCAACGAAAAAACACACGATATTTATAATACAATAAATAAATATTGTATGATATAAAATAATATAATTATTATATAACCATGAACTTTTAATTATACGTTTATTGTGATTTATTTTATGCTTTTTTTTGTGGCTTTCGATTTAGTTTTTGCTATTTGGCATGTTTGCTACGACCGCATGACCTATAATTGCACGTTTTATTATTTATTTATATAGTATTGATGTACACACAACTTATTAGTAGTAGTAGAAATGTTTATTTACAGAATAATAATTATTAAAAAAATATACAAAGAAAAAACATTGTACGCTTTGGTTACAAGCAGGCAGGGTTTCAAAAGAAGATCTTATCTGTAAACTTAAACAATTTAAAATTATAAAAAAAATAATGAAAATTTTCTATAATATATTGAGGCTTTCAGCTATTTTTATAAAAGATCCCTTGACCGTTCAGATCACAAATCACAAAGTTCACTCTTAATGTTTTTTTAAAAATATTTTAAAGTTTAATCTATACTACCTCATAATTGGACAGATAGCAATAAAGTGATGTATAGGTTTTCTATTTCTTTAAGAAACATACTAATCTTTAATAAAAAGCCTTTAATTTTTTTAAATTATCAATTATAATGAAATTAAATAGGGCCATAAAATATAAAAATTAAAAGAATTTGAAAATTAAAAATTTAATAAATTATATTATTTATTTATTTTATTTATTGCTATCTGTACAAAATATAAATTTTGTAAAAATGTCAATCAAGCTAAAACTATCGTTATTTGCACACTTTTAATATTAATTTACATGTTCCATCACTTTATGGATCATGGATTTAATTCCCAGGATATGTCCCGACCAGGTTTTCCTAACTTCCAACCGAAATTGCCCATTAAAAATCAAAATAATTGAAATTTCAAATGGACCGTTGGAAAGATCATGAAATGTTGAAGTTTTTAGTTGGTTTGACATTTTTAAAAATGTAATGTAATGGGGCTACGGTTTACAGAATTTGATCCAAAAATTATTTCAGAAATTTCATGATGTTTGTGCTGTTATTTTGTAAGCAGACTGATATTTTTTAAAAATGTGGACTAATCTAAAATGAAATTTGACACTAAATTTAAAAATGGTGTCAAAAATTGGTAAAAGTTAAGTTAGATTGGAGAAAACTCAGGTTTTTTTGTGTGCAAAGAATCGTGTTTTTTTAAATAAACACTTTAAACAAAATCGTAATTTTTGGACAGATTGAGATAAAACCACGAGATTTCAGTATTCTATTCCGGTTTGGAGGTACTGTCATAGAAATTTTTTTAACACGAGCCGGCCACTCTGTATAAATATTTTAGACGTTATCGCATTAATGAATTGTTAACCGCTAATGTTTAATAAACAGGGTTTATTTTTGTGGTGGGTGCTTCATAAAGAGCGAAAGGTGTTTATTAATAAATTTGCTACTCATGTTTTCATGGAATATGAAATAATACAACACGCTCATGGGACTTTACATAATTAAGTCATATTAGCATAAATTCTCTTTTTTATTTTGAATTTACTGAATTGAAAAAATTAAAATATTTTTGAGAGAGGGTAAAACGCTTTTAACCTCGACAGTTTCTTCTATAGTTTTGGAGTTGTAACGACATTTTTTCGTAGGTTTTAACGAAAGACAGTGTAACGGTCTCGGTGGACGCAGTCGTGTATTACAGGGTGTCGAACGCGACAGTTTCCGTCGCCAACGTCGCCAACGCACACCATTCGACGAGGCTGTTGGCCCAGACGACCCTGAGGAACGTGCTCGGAACCAGGCCTCTTCATGAGATCCTCAGCGACCGTGAAGCCATCTCCAACACAATGCAGGTACAAAACAAGCTTTGGTTTATTACAACTCTGAAGTAAAAACGTGAAGATCATTCACATTTGATAAGCAACAAATCCAATATTTAGCGACGACCGAGTAGGGTTAATTTATAAAGGTTAATAAAATTTGGATTGGACGGTGTTTGGGCTTATCAAATGTACCCTGCATTAAGACCTTTATCCTTAGACCTTTTTTTTCCGCGTGACATAGCTTTACCTTGGCATATACTCAGCTGAATCTTCCACCGTCTGAGCATTGGCCTAGGGAGGTTTATAAAATGTAAATGATGTATGGTGTGAGGGATATTTTCTTTATGAAAAGAAGTAAAACAGACGTGTTTAGTAGACCAGTTTATCTTCAAAGGTTGAATATCAATGAATCCTTTAGTTCCAACTGTTTATTATTTTATTTGGTACCAATACAAAATAAAGGCTCCATTAAATTCAATCATTGATGATGAAGTTTCAAAAAAATAATAATAAAATAAAACGAAAAAACCAATTAATCTATGCCTAAAACCTATCTATAGCTAAAATGAGGGGCTTCGGTGGCCGCAACGGTTTAGGCGTTGACACGGCGCTCATCACTGTAAGGTAAAGGTCTCGGGTTCGAATCCAGCCGACTTTACTTACAAATGGGCTTTTTTCATAAACACCGGCACCCCGAGGGTTGATATAACCTCTGCTGTTGTAAACACTAGTAAAAAAAATAAAATAAATAAAATAACTAAAAGGAATCGACCTTACAGAAAGTCGCTTAGTCCTGATTTTGGTGGCGCAGTGGCCAAAAAACCGCGAAATTTTTGCCTTTGTTTGGCAAACGATTTCCTAAAGTATGCATCCTACCAAAAATTTACACTGTGTGTTTTCGAGTAGAATAAATTTGTTACTCTTAAGATCAGAACGATCTCTGCGCCTTTTTTAAAATAATTTCAGAGATACAGCTTCAAAAACATGACTATTTCCCACAACATGTGTAAAATTTTAGTTTTCGTATATTTCTTGTCAATTAGCCGGGAAAGTACTCATTCTAGGAAAAGTTATTTAGAATAATTTATAACAAATTTATTTAACTTTAATCGAAGGACAAAAGGACTTCTGTAGGTCCAATGGTTTCCTCGCAAAAAACAAAAAACAAAAGGAAAAATGGAAATTAACAGGTTACGTGTCTCATCATCATGAATATCATGGCCGTAAAAATATATCAATGTAAATATGGGTTTAACTGGAGGAGTCTATTGTACCCTTTCAGATGACAAAAACCGAAATTCTGGAAAAGACAATTTAGGGAGAAATTTAAGTGGACAGCTCACACAGAAACCGACTCCCTCCAGTTCCTTTTCCCGGTGATCTTGAATCAATTCTCTACAAACTCACCCCACCATATCCCAACATAATTATAACGAGGGATTTCAACGCGAACTTTATATCGGACTTATATGATAAACGTTTGCTTGAAAATTTAATTTCCTTTAATGTTACACGTGTACCCTTTGCACCCACACACCACACATCCTCCGCAATCACTTGGCTTGATCTTATTCTAATAGGAAGTATGAAATTGAAATAGACTCAAAGGGTTTACCTCTAGGAGTAAAAACTCTCAGATGACAAAAACCGAAATTCTGAAAAAGGCAATTTAGAGAGAAATTTAAGTGAACAGCTCACACAGAACTAATTTTGAATCTTTATTATAAAAAAGGTTGATAAAGTTAAGTTCTTGTAATTTAATCAATTTAAATTATTTATAATAAATAGCAGAAGAACGCCTCGTTCCAATCTTGGCTGGTTTTACAGCCCTGGTACACCGTCATCCTCTGTGAGGCCCCGAGGAGAGGAAAAAAACAAAAAACGGCGTTTTACAATGTTAAACCAACACGACCAATCCATCATGCAAGTTTTAATCTATTCAAGCGCCTTGTTAGAGGAGAAATTTGTACTATCGGATGTTTATCATTCAACAAATTTTTGTACACTGATTGACCACCTTTGTTTTTTTCTTTTGCAAATAAATACTTTCAATCGTTATAATTTTTATTTATTGTTGTTTACTGGATATTTTTAACGAAAAAATATAAGCTATTAGATAAATAAAACCCCCTCTTTCGTTTTCCAGCATCACTGGGCGACTTTTTACCCTCTTTAACAACTCGTCCCAAAGGTGTTTGATAGGGTTTAAGTCGGGATTACATGCTGGCCACTCCAAACAGAATTAAAGCCCATTCTTTGTAGCCATCAACGGTCTAACTGTGTAGGTCCTTGCATTTTCAAGCATAAAAATATATAAAATAATTATAAAAATAATATTCTATAATGTTCAGAATTATAAATATAAAAACCAACCTGGTCGTCCCCTTGTAAGTTAGATTAAAGATACAGAGAAAAACGGCGCTTTACAATGTTAAACCCACACGACCGATCCATCATGCAAGCTTTAATCTATCCAAGCGCCTTGTTAAAGGAGAAATTTGTACTATCGGATTTTTATCATTCAAACAAATTTTTGTACACTGAGAGGCAAACAATTGTTTTTTTCTTTTGTTAAGTAAATACTTGCAACCTTTAGAATTTTTATTTCCTGTTGTTTATTGGGTATTTTTAAAGAAAAAAATATAATACATAGTTAAATTCTTTTTCTTAAAAGTCTTCTGATTTTTAACAAGTCATTATTGGAATATCTGGTTGAAATTGCTATATTTCCAAATCGGATAAAGCATTTTGACATCACAGACCTACTCAAAGAAGCGTAACGTTGCTTTTTAATGACGAATGTGGCATTAAAATAAATAATAAATTTCTATAAGAAAATATACAAAATAGCAAAATTATTTGTCAAAAATTAACCTCGTTTTTTAACTCGAAATAATAGTGGGATTTTAATGTTTGATACAGTTATAAAATGCATTTGACAATTTATTTAAAACGAATTATCAACTATAAAAATCGGTACACTAGTTTTTCAGAAAAATGATGCTAGATGCACCAGGGATGTCAATCAGGGTCGTCATTATCAGAAAAATTATAGGGGACAAAAATCTATAAATTTAAAATTTAAAACGATATATATTTAGGGGTCTCTAGAGATGCTGAAACGAATTCTCATATTAGTTTTAAGAGAAAAAAATTTATGACCTATTTTAGTTGAAAATATTTGATTTTTTTTGGTTATTGATAAAATTCGATAGCTGTTACTATAATTTTATTGCAATCTACATAAAAATACTGTAAAATTATGTATTCACATATTTGATTTGAGAAAGTAGAATGACGAAATGGAAATATTAAAAACAAGAAATTTTCAACTTTCAAAAATTTATTTTGTTGAAACCAGAGTTTATTCACAAGAAGTAGCCGATACGTGTCCAATATTTTGGAATGTAGAATCGCCAAAAAAAGTTTGGTCCAAATCCATGACCCATCAACCTGGTCGTCTGCTTTTAAGTAAGATTAAAGACAAAGAAAAACGGCGCTTTACGATGTTAAACCCGCACGACCGATCCATCATGCAAGTTTTAATCTATTCAAGCGCCTTGTTAAAAGAGAATTTTTTACTTTCGGATTTTTATCATTCAACCAAATTTTCGTACAGTGAGAGGGTAACAATTGGCCACTTTTTTCTTTTTTTAAAGTTTAACTATCAATCGTTATAATTTTTATTTATTGTTGTTTTCTGGATATTTTTAAATAAAAAATATAAGCTATAGTTAAATAAAACCTCCTCTTGCGTTTTCCAGCATCACTTTTTACCCTCTTTGACAACTCGTCCCAAAGGTGTTGGATGGGGTTTAAGTCTGATTACATGCTGCCCACTCCAAACATCGAATTAAAGCACATTCTATGTAGCCATCAATGGCATGTAGGGCATAAAAATAAAACCATACCCGATTAGTGACACATTTTCAATGCATCAAGCAACTGTTGGGAAACCCTCAATGAAGATAAAGTTTATGCAACTTTCCGTAGAAACCCATAACATTCCCAAACCATAACATTTATAGCTTTTCTTGAGTGAAAATGTTGCGGGGATAGATCGCTCTCCTGTTCTTCTCCAAATGCTCCCTTCCGGTTGTCAGATGACCTCAAACAAAACCTTGATTCATCTGAAAACAAGATTTTAGTCCAATCTTGCTCAGACCATTTGATGCAATTTTTCACAAAACATAACCGAGATGTTCCGTGCCTTGTCAGAAATTCTGTACCAGTGCTGCCTTCTGCATGTAATCCTTCTAAAGTCTTTATCTTACAGTGCTTTAAAATGATGAACTCGTTGCTTGATGAGTGGTAGAATGTTGATTAAGGAGTACATTCGAAACAATAAAATCATCTTCTCTTTGAGATGTAACATGATGGCTACCTGATCCATGCCTTTTTGAGTATCCTCCAGTATGTCGTAGCAATGGAAGACCTATGGGACAGTTGTTCTGAGAAATGTTAAGCACACTGGCAACATATGCTTGCTTGACTTCTTCCATCTTCTAACAATACGATGATTCAAGACGAATATGTATCACTTAAAACCACCACTCAACCAAATTTCAAACTAAAAAAAAAAAATCAAACTACCAGGATATTCTATTTTATATATAGAAAAACTAACAAAGAAGAGATGGCCTATTCAAAAATTAATTGGGGGAACACAACTGGGCGATTTCATCTGTGTTCCATTTACCTCTAATCCTTTAAAACGGGTCAAATATTGTTATAAGATAATCAATGGAAGATTGTCTAAGAGATAATTAAAAATATTAAGGGTGGCCATTTTTTTTTTGCCTTTCAGTGTAGTTGCCAATTTAGTTTAGAATATTGATGGTATCATTTTTGAGCGAGATTAAGTATTGTTCATTTATTCCCACATAACTAGTAATGTATTTGAAGTTAATTTTATTTCATGAATGTTAAATTACGAATTGTTCTTGTTTTTTAAAAATTAAATAAAAATATTGAATCATTATTGTGTTTCTTTATTGCAGAACTCATTGGACGAAGCAACAGATAGCTGGGGCATTAAGGTTGAACGAGTTGAAATGTTGGTATTATTTCAGCCTTATAAAGTTACATATCTTTTAATTTATTCCTTTGGGTTAAAACAGAAAAGACGTGAGGCTTCCAGTACAACTACAGAGAGCGATGGCTGCAGAAGCTGAAGCTGCACGAGAGGCACGAGCTAAGGTTCGTTTCATCTTAATTTCATTTCTTCTCCTTTCTCAAACAATAAACATCATAGAAACTTTTTCAGTTTTATTTTAACTCATTAAACTATATTAATTATTCATTAAATTATTTATACATAATTACGTAAGTTTGAACTCTCAGAAATAACCCAAACAAACTTGATTGAAAACAGCTAAAATTTTATAGTTTACTTCTGTCTAGTCTGCATGTTCACCATTGAATAAATATCTCACTTAACAAAAATGTCAAAATGCAGAAATACATTTAGACAAAACCAGTGTCTGAGATGATCTGAGGTTATCAAACCTCACAAATTTCATACCATAGCTCAAAATTTAACCTCACTGAGGATCACTGAATCAATTTATAGTAATGAAACAGTATAAAGTTTCAGTACACTTATTGTCAATGAATGAAATGAAAATCATAAGTTTCTACTTAACAACAACAATCAAGTCTAACAGTTAGCCATGGTGGTGGTCCTACTGGGATGCAATGGTGTGGGTTCTGGGAGCTTTTAGCCCCGGATAGACGGAGGGACGTGGACTTTTCCATAGCACTTGAAGTGATGTAAATGGTTTTTATCCACGTCCTTCTGTTATGTCCTTTGTAAGAAAGAGGGGTTCAAATCATAAGTCAAGCGCATACTATCTGCCTTGGCGGCGGTGTAGGTGGGTCGCAGGCTTCCTCTATGTCTTGCCCTAAAAATATTTGGCAGATGACTGATTTAAAAAAAAATTTACGCATGAATGCATGATATTTGAAAATACGGGAAAAGGAGGGAAATTTTTAAAGGTTGTAGGTTGAGATGAGTTAGTGTCTGAGTTGATCGAAGTCACAATAGCTTGGTTAGAGCAGTGGTGTATTAGCCGAAGGTCATGGGTTCAAATCCCTCTCGTTACACTAGCTTTTTCATCTCAACTAAGAACTTAAATAAAAAGAATAATGAATTGAATTAATTAAAATAATGAAAACAATGGAATGGACTTTAGAATTCCTTGGTGTCACATCATGGAAAAAAATTTTGGTCACTCTAAATCATAATAAACAAACTCCATTGTCAGGATTAGCTTTAAAAAACTTGTTTATGGCCTCAAGATGTAGAAAAACACTAAAGTGTACTTTTGTTGGGTAAATGTTAACTCAGGCAGTTAGGCAATGACATGGATGGTGAGGGATTTTTCCCAAAAATTAATTTAACAGAAAGTCATTCAGGATTTTTTACAAGAAAACCTGGACAGTTAGAAAACTATGTGGTTATTGGGAAGAAAATTAAAAATGTTCTTCCTAGATGTTGCAAGTCAGAAGTAGTAATTTGCTACAAGTGAAAATGAGAGGAAAAAAATACTTTTTTTTGCACTGGGGTGACCAGACTTGGGCAGAGACGAGGCCCAAGAGCGAGGCCTGGAAGAGGCCGAAGACACGCGGGTGGTATTTTGAAGCCAAAGGAGGCCCAGCCAGGGCTCAGCGGGGACACTGGCGAGGAGTGGGGCCCGATCGGCGTGAACAAGGAGACTCGGGCTGAGACTGGTCGGTGTGGACAAGCCGGGCGAAAAAAAAAAAAAAAAAAAAAAGGAACGTGATAGTGTTTTATTTAATTATTTTGGGAACGAGAAGGAAAAGAACGTACATGAGGTTCAAGCTTTTATTTATATTATAAGATTGGTTTCTGGACAGTTTTGTTTTTCGTTTTAATTTTGAAGAAACTTGTTTTATTTCTTCTTTTTTGTTGTTTTACATTTTATTAACAATACAGAGGGCATTGATATTTTACTTTCTTGTTGTTTTTATTTTTTATCTTGTTATTTTACCCCGAGGGTTTCACTGTTTTGCGAAAAGAAGGGAAAAAAATGAAAATCAGTGTGGCGCCTGATTATTTTGTTTTTGGAGACGAAACGGCCACGGGAAAAATCTCCATTGAGCCCCAGGTACCCAGCGACCTGGTGAATTGCCAACAATCTGGCAAGGAACTGGTAACAAATTGTCAAATGACTCGGCTGAGGAAGAATAAATCTTACCGATTAAGCATCATACCAAGTTCAACAATGGTGGAGCACTAGTACATGTTGGGAACATATAATTCTCAAGTGCTCCATTTTGGAACTACAAATGTAGAACTTTAGCCTATACACCAATTTAAAAAAAAAAAAAAATTGAAGCGTCTTTTTTAAAAAAAGTCTTCATTTTTTAACAGGTAATTGCTGCTGAAGGTGAACAGAAGGCTTCGAGGGCATTGAGAGAAGCTTCAGAAGTTATTGGAGACTCACCAGCTGCACTACAACTAAGATACTTACAGGTGAGTGGTTTAATGTCAAACCTGTTTTGTACGATTTGATGCGAATTTATCTCCTGTTTACAGACGTTGAACACGATATCTGCTGAGAAAAATTCAACCATCGTTTTCCCATTACCGATTGACATGCTTACATATTTTATGAAGGCGAAGGAAGTGGTGAGTTAGACAGTTAATATAATGTATTAGATCGAGAATGTATGTCGATGGACATACTGATTATTTAACTTGTTTCTTGAAATATTATTGCAGATTAGAGGCAATTCATTATTTGACAAGATTCCAAACCTGCAATAATAATAACAATATATTATATAGTCTGACTATCTACTGTTCTAGTTTTGTACCAAGTTTGATGAAAAATATAACAAATTACAAATACAAGCTTTGAGAATGCAGGCAAACAAGTGGGTTAAAGCTTTAACGTTACATTATTTCATAAGCCAAGTGTGATATTCATAGATCTAATATGAATATGTACATATAAGATATGAATTTTGATGTTACTTTATAGCTGCCTAAGCCTGGTAATAATTATATTTAATTAATTTTACTCTCATTTTTTGTCATTGTAGTGCATACAAATTTATATACACTTAGGTGCAAAAAAATGGAACTCCTTAGTTATTTAAGAAATCAGTCTAATAACTTTTTTTTTTCATTTATCATTCCTGAGGTATAGAACCATTATTTTGACATATTCAATAATGTAAAAATGTTAGAAAAAAATGTGAAACATGAAAAAGTGACATTTTCTGTGTATGATTTAATGAAATTTAACTCTTGTATACACAAATTAAAAAACAAAAACAAAATCAATATATTTCCTCCTCTGGTGCAGACAGCCTGCAAATGCTGTGCCATGTCCATGATGTGGCGTCGAATATCTTCTTGCCTTATTCAACCCACTCTTCAAGAAAGGCACGTCTTAACTGATTGAGAGTATCTGGAGCGGTGACCCTAGCTTTAACTCGGTTTCTTACCATGACCCAGATGTGTTTGGTTTGATCTAAGAATCGAGCTGGCCACTCCATTCTACTATTCCCCTGGTTTTACAAGAACTGTACTTGTACACGAGCTCTGTACGGTCTTGCATAAATTCAAAGTTTTCTCCGAAAATTGGACGATTCCTACATATGAAATGCCAGAATCTCATGCAAGTAATGCTGCTCATTCAATGACAATGAGCTAGGTACATACTATAGATACGGCTCCCTGAACCATTATCATTCACCCTGGAAGGAGACTTTAGAGGAAAAATGGCAATGGGCAAATCTCTCTTCTGGCCATCTCCACTTTTTCCTGCCTGTCTAGTGACTGAAGGCAGAAACAGGACTTATCTGAGAAAGGACACTTCTTCATTGTTTTTCTGTCCGATATGGTGTCCATAAGCAAACTCAAGTCGTGCTGTTTGGTGCTGTGTGAGAACTTCAGGACCGCTGGCAGGTCTTCCTGAGCTCAAACAACCTCATACAGTCCTGGACTCCATGAACCTTGCGAAAGAGTTGGGTTGATCTTAATGTAGTTTGAAAGCGGTTTATTCCCAGTACTATGAAACGATCTCAAGCCTTGTTTGGTATTCTCCCCTGCCTGAACTGGGCCTTATGCTGTAACTCCCTGTCTCCTTATAGCATATATACTAGGTTATATAACCTAAGTACCATAGTTTGGCTACATTGTAACATACCCATAATGTACCAGTAACTTTTGCCTTCTTCCAACAGCACCACCACTTGGGCATACTGCTCAGGGGTAAATTCATTGTAACGTTTAGAAAATGTCTGCGACAGTATTTTTCTTGCAAAGAAAGCAATAAACAAAGAGTCAAGCCATGTTTACATGTCAAATGTTAACAGTTCTCTATGGGAGATCATAATTATAAGTTCATTGTCTCATTTCTCTCTTTAACCCTCATAACAAAACACAAACAAATAATAAATAATAGTGATAAATAAATAAAAAATAAGAAGTTTATATCAAGTTATTAGACCAATATCTCAAAAAACCAAAATGTATTGTTTTCTTTTTATCCACCTGAGTGTATTTAAACATATAATATAATACAGTTGACTTGATAATTCGACCATAAAATAATTTGAATTATAGAGGAAAGAAAAAAAAATTGTTAATAGTTGATATGTATTTTTCTAAGTTATTACTTATATTGTACATATATAAAACATAATAAAAATAATGAAAAAGCGGAATGATCAACTGTAAAAGTGAACATTGCAAGCATTATTAAAAAATCATGAGTGGTTTTTGTTTCAATGTGGCCTGGCATTCTTTGTTTAAATGATTTTCCTAAGTGACCAGAGCTGAGAACATATTGACAAAACACCGACCACAGAACATACAAACTAGAGAAAATTCGAAGAAACTTTAGGCTGAAGGGAATTTTATGACATTTAGAAGAATATATTGTAACAAAGAAAAAGAGCAAATTTTAAAGTCAGGAAGTGGCTCCATTTCGATTAATAGCATGTTTTTAATCTCCCTCTGTTACAAAAAATATTTTGTATTAACGAGTGTATCAATTTTTTTTTTCAATTTATCAAAGCGACCTGCTGAGGAGTTCGTATTATCAAGAAATTCGAATTGACAATTTCAAAATAACAAGAGTCGACTGTAGATTGAAATTGGTCAAAATCTAAATGTATTAACTTGTAATCACATACAGATATTTGTAATAAATAAAGTCAATCTATTGATTTATTATTAATCTACGAAATTATTATCAAATATATTTGTATTTCATTTATAATTTTATATGTACATAAAAACAAACTCATTTAATAATTGAGATCTCCAATTGACATTTTTTCTAGTAAGTTTTTAAATGTTTACACATTTACCTGTAATTATTAAATTATTTGGATGCAATTAATAGTATACTTTTGCATATCTGCAATATCTAATTATGAGCAACATAATAATATACTATAGTGTTTTATACGTTTTAAGAAAATGTTTAGTTTCTAAGATAACCGATATGATTATTGCTTATATAGCTATAATACTGGGCAATACGGGTTGACATGGTTATTTATATTATGTATAAAGTAAATTATAAATCATTATAAAATAGTAATATATGATGCATTGCATTTTTAGTTTTAAAAAATAATTATCTTAACAGTACTAATTATTGGAAACACCATTTAATTGATGTATTATTGAAATTTTGCCATATTCTTATGTAGAATTTGTAATATAACAATAAAACCATAAAATTTTATATCACATGTTATACATACGATGCATATTATAAATTCTAAGCTAAACTTGATGTACCATTAAATGTGAATTATTAATTAGTTATAAGGCACTTTTTATAATACTGGTTGTTCATATTCGTTCAGTCCAAGTTTGCACAATTTAAGCACAGAAGAAGTTTTTGACACTTCACATTCCAGTTGTCTGTTATATTTAATATATAATTTATTCAGCACTTTTATTATATTTAAAGCCATTTGTGATAATTTTGTAATAGATTAGAAGAGTGTATATATTTCTGTTTAATTTATTATTGTTTATGAATCTATTTTTCATTTTATAAGACCAGTTATAAAGCACAATAAAATTAAAATTAAAAAATGTGTATAAATACAAAATGTGCATATTATAATAATTTATTATTCAATTAATTGTACATGATTTTACAAAATGGAAAATTTGTGTCACAGGCTGGATTTGAACCCAGTAGTGTACAGGGGAGTGGTTAAAGCATCAGAGAACTGATACAAAAATCACAAATGTTTCATTTTGAAATTTCTAGTATAATTAATTGAATATATATAATAAAAATAAAAATGATAATAATCAATAAAAATTAATTTATTAGTTCTTTGAAAATATATTTATATATGAAATGTAATACTATATGCTACTCTTAATTTCATTATTCATAATAATTATTAAGATACAAATTTTAATAATTTGAATATACTATTAATGAAATTCTACATGATCAAAAGACATTATTTTCATTTAATAGTAGAACTTTGCACTAAAAATGTATTTTAATTAAAGCCAGGGTGCTTGTGGCCTCAATGGTTAAGGCATTGGATAGGGCAGCTCATCGCTGTAAGGGTCTCGAGTTCAAATATCAGAGGCCGTGAATTCAAACTGATTTTTTTTAAAATGCCGGCACCATGGGGTTGACCTCTGGTGTTCTGTCCCCAATTTAATTATTAAGTAACGATAAGCTAGATTATCGACCTGCTGGAAACATGAAGTCTTTTCGGAGGATCTACGGAAGAGGTCAAACACAGAGAAAACTTCCTTTCGGTTTTCGCCGAGCTTTCGACAGTTTTTATACTGTCATCTTCAGGGCCTGTTTTATTATCATATGAAAAAACAATTAAAAATGCGAAAACCGAAAGGAAGTTTTCTCTGTGTTTGACCTCTTCCATAGATCCTCCGAAAAGTCTTAATTATTAAGATTCAATAATAATTTTCTATTTTATGATATTTGTCTAATATAATATTTTTTTCAAAGTATTTGCAGATTAATAAATAAGATTTAATGTAATCTGAATTTGAATGAAAGAAATAATGATGTCATAAACTTTGTAAATGCGTGGAGATTAGTGAGTAGAAATACTTTGATTGAATATAAAAAATATTTTTTGAATTGTATAAATTCAATTTTTTTCATATCCTACATGTATTTTTTAAATTTAAATAATGTTTGTAAATCCCAGGCCCTGAAGATGATCTCAATAAAGATCCATTTGTTTATAAAACCAATTTCTCCAATGAACAAAACATTTGTAATGAAGTAGTAAATTATTCAGGGAATTATGTACTTTTGCGGACCAAACAGACTGGTTGTCAAACTGCAACTAAAGGAATTGTGAATTTTTACGGCAATTTAAATTTACTGAGCTGTAGCTAAAATGTACTATCGACAAAATTACAATTAGTCATATAATACTTTATATTAATATAAATAAATAGATGTAATGGAATTTTCACTCTTCACCATTAACAAAATGTTATTTAAAAAAAAAATTCAAATATGTAACAAGAAAAATGGGTATTTTATATTTTACTAAAAGTAGTAAAACAATAATGTATCTGCCATCATAATAGATGTTTTGACATAAATTGTAAGCATTTAATTTTTTTACTGAACACTTAAATTAAATGTATCATCACTTATGTGGATTTGTAATATTTTTATTAATATATAAGCTTTTTGTTATGTAAACATTTATGGCATAACTTTCTATCAGGAATAAATGCAAGTTAAAATTGAAAATATTTGATCTTCACTTTTAATAGTAATGTAGTTAATTTTGCCCTAGTCGCAGAGAATGGGTCGAAAAGGGAAAACGCCATACTGACAATGGTACGTATAGGTCATACAAGAATAATTCATAGGCACCTTCTGGCCAGAGAGCAACCTTGTAGGTGCCATTGTGCAAAAATAAAATAATGGATGAGCACATTTTCAATTGTAGAAGGCTTGATATTTATAGGAAATATTTTGGCATGTCGTCGGACCTATGCATAGTCTCGGGGCACAGATCGCTGTTTCAGTACCTCAGGGCTATAGCGATTTTTAAATGCATATTTGTTGTGTCTGTTTTGCATTTATGGTGATTTAATGGAATGAATGTAATTTATTAGTGTGAAATGAAGGGGTTGCTTAACCCTGCCTGATGAATATCGAGTACTTTGGAGTGAAGTTATTAGCAAGAATGGATTAGGTTCAACCCCGGCCTGAGGAATATCATGTGCTCTTGGGGAGTGAATATGATCAGAATTTTATGTTTGTGGTGATAAAGGAAGTGTGAAGGTGTTGTGAAGTAGGAAAATCCATCAAGCCGACTATGAGAAATAAGATTAAAAAAAGGACGAAAAAGCTTAAAAATTTTCTGACTACTTTATCATTTAGATCGGTTCAAAAATAATGTAAAAATGTTGGAAGTAAGAAAATCTATCGAGCCGTCTACAAGATATGAGGAAAAGCAGAGGAAAACTTGGAAATTTTTTTTTCTCTTCTTTGCCATCTGGTACAGTCAAAAACTGACAAGAAAAAAAGAAAAAAAGTTGGAAGTAAGAAAATTTATTAAGCCATCTAGGAGAAATAAGTGGAAATCAGAGGAAAACTCTGAAAACATTTTTTCACTTGTTTCCATTTGGCACGGTCCAAAACTAACAAAAAAACGTTGGCAGTCATTGAGTCATCTACGAGATAAAAGAGGAAAACTCGGAAATTTTTTTCACTTATTTCCCATCTGGTACAGTCCAAAACTAACAAAAAAAAAAAGTTGGAAGTAAGAAAATCCATTAAACCATCTAGGAGAAATAAGTAGAAAAGCGGAGGAAAACTCAGAAAATTTTTTTTCTCTTGTTTCCCATCTGGTACGGTCTAAAACTAACAAAATATGTTGGAAGTAAGAAAATCCATCGAGCCGTCTACGAGATATAAGAGGAAAAGCGGAGGAAAACTCGGAAAATTTTTTTTCACTTGTTTCCCATCTGGTACGGTCCAAAATTAACAAAAAATGTTGAAAGTAAGAAAATCCATCAAGCCGTCTAGGTGATATAAGAGGAAAAGCGTAGGAAAATGAGAAAACTTTTGTTGCTAGTGCTGGATGGCCGAGGGTAAATAGTTAAACGGGGAAAACTGTAAAACCGAAAATATCTCTGAAATCGCCAGTATAATCGGGCTGAATACCGCACAGCAAGCAAACCTTAATACCGCACATTGTGTGCAGTATTCAGAGAAAATGAGCTGAATACTGCTTGCTGATTACCGCACATTGTGTGTGGTATTCAGGCGTTTAAAATATTTTTGTGCAGTATTCAGGCGTTTAACATACCTATAAATATAAAAGTTATAAATTTGACTAAATGAGTGTAAGCAAAGCATTTTAGGGTATCAACTTGGTTTTTATGTAAAAGCAGAAAGTCAGTAAAAGATCGAAACGTTCAAATGGCTGCAGGTTGAAAAATACACCTGAAAGTCTAAGAAAAGAAGTACAAACACACAAAGGGCCTGTGATGACCTCAGTATGTCAGCCCCTAAACATCCCACATTATTATTATTCCCCTTAAATTATGGGTGCTGTGTAGTTAAAATTTGATGGATGTCCTGCTCACAATTCCAATGTAGTAAATTGTTTCTTGGATGACCAATTTCTTAATTGGTGGATGGGAACCGAAGTCCTGTACCTTGGCCACCATGTTTATATGATTTAACCCCATAGATTTTGGTGTTGGTATTCAAGTCATCACAAACATTAAATAATGTTTCAATAACCATTTTATAAATAAAATAATAAAAAAGAGCAATAAACAATCTGCTAATGGTCCAGTGAAAAACATGATTAAAAAAAGAGGCAGCATCAGTGTGCTGGATTGGCAGAATTGATAGCCCTCGGAGGATCTGACAGAAGAAGGGCCATCTTTACTCGATTAAGAATAGGTCATGCAAGGTTGACACACAGGCACTTTTTTTTTGTCAAAAGCTCGCTATGTGGTTGCTCAATGTGTCCCACGTAATTGGGCCACTCCTTGGCTCCATACAGAATGCACGAATACCACCCGGTATGAGATGAGCTTGAGCACGGCAGCGGGTATTTGGGTACCACCCAATATGAAAATTAGAAAAATGTATCTAAGTTTTGTTACCAACTAATAAATTGTTATTAAAAATATGACATGTATGATGTTCTTGGGTTGGTGCTCTCCTTGGGTTCGATATCACGTTTTTCATCCTTGCAAAGATTTCGAAAAGTTCTAAAAATGTAAAAGGGAAGTATCTCCCTTGGAATACTTATAAAATAAGGCAACTTTGGTGAAATCTCCGAAAATTTTGATGGAAAAGTCATTGCATGAGCCACAATTGAGCATTTCCAAAAAAGCATGGGTTTTACCATTTATTATTCTTTGAGTGGCTACTGTGTGATCAAAAGCATGAATTTTTCAACAGAAATGTTATTTTTAGAAAATCTAATGTAGTTTGTGAAATAAAGGTCAGATTTCTAATTTAATGACGCTAAAGTTGAGAAATTATGATTTTATGTAACAAAAATCTGACTTTAGACTAAAATCACAAAAATGTTAATATCTCAGGAAAGAGACAAGATAGAAACCTCGTTCTGGTTATTTTTTATTCAGTGAATCTACCATCACAATATTGACATTTAACAACCTGTACACACATCTCATCTTGTGGTTTATAGTGTATATTGAGAATGAATGTATTTATTAGCGTGAATGTATAGTGTGTATGTTTATGTGCAGATTTGAGCTTATATAAATCAATAAATCTGCCAATTGTTGGCCAACTTTTCAGTTGGGAGGGAATCAGGCGGTCTATGCTACTATAATCGTTTGGGTGTGCGCACTCACAAAAAACTTAGTGCTTAATAAGCAACCAACTAAACAATTGGATGAATTTAAGGCTGTACCATGCTGTGAATCTAATAAACAATATTGCTGTTGGTGTCGAGAAATAATACTCAAAGATAAATTGAAAATTTATTCGATTAAAAAAAGTTAATCATCAGTATAAAATCATGTTTCAAGATTTCATTATTACAGTTTTAATTTTATATCAGTCAATGAATTAGATAATTTAGAAATTAATGAGCTAGTTTAATTTATTTGTACATGGTTGTTGGACATAATTTAAACAGAATCCTTTGTTTCCTATATCATTTGGCGCTTCAACATTATCTGTGTGGACCACAAGCCTAAACGGTTTCACTGTACCTAAAATTGACAGTATTATAAACAGCAAATACAACTTAAAAACTAAAAAAAAAGAAGAAAAAAGTGATTTAGCTTACTGTAAACTGTGGCCTGTGTTGTCGAAACTTCACTGTTGAAAGTACCACCGCAGATCCTGTCGACACAAACTGGCGGTGACGATGGCGACCGTCCTACATTCATAGCACACGGTATTATCACCCAATCGCCGGAGCAGGCAGTTGGCCCAAGACCACCAATCATTGATGTCGTTGGGTTCTGGCTCATTGTATTTCCACTCATGGTAAATGCATGTGTTCTATTGCCCACTATTAAAAAAATAAAAAATAAAAATTGAAGAAAAATAAAACAGTTAGAAAAAAAGGGATTATTGTTTACTCTTTTATTTTACTTCCTGTTACAAAGAATAGACTCAGAATTGAATTGGATTAGCCCTATTTGTCAAATTGTCTCAAATTGATGTCTATCTTTGTAGGGCTCATTGCAAGAATAAGCATTATCCTGTCTGCCATTCCAAGTTTGTACATCTGATTTTGTTTCAAATTTTGTAATTATTATTAAAATTAAAAAATCAGATTTATTAGCTATTTTTGGTAGTTGTTATTAGATATCTAACATGTAGTGAATTATGACACCATTTCAATTTGTACATCATAACGGAAATATTTATTTTCTTAAATAATCTATTTTTGTAACGTTTGTGAATTCTTAATTTATTTTAGCTTACTGTTATCTGCACATGCTGTATACTGAATTCCACAAAAATTTCTCTCGATTCTTACACAGGCGCTGTAATCTTGGTTTGACAATTGTAGACCTCCAGTAGGGTCAAAGTTAAAGGATTTTATCTGCCCGGAGACACCTGTGTAGTACTGAAGACACCCTTCCTCCGCTAAATGAACAAATAGTTATAAATATTTAATTAATGATACATGAAAAAATTAAATAATCGAAAAAGTAACAATCGTAAATGCTGCAATAGACCTCTGTAATTCGAACTGCAAGGAATTTGGCAGATTTTCATTTTCCAGTTTCTTGCGAATGTCGGTCCACTTGTAACGACAGTAAGCGTGACTGGGTTATTAACTCCAGTGCCTGCATCGATGTACACTGAAAATAATATGAAAATAAATATTTTATACGACAGCGTCAAATTTGAAACATACTGTGATTTCCGTTGTTCATTCCGCAAATCCCGGGTACAGGATTCCCACCGGAAACAATGAATTGATCGTTATTGCAGACATTATTGACAGGCTCAGGACCAGCTAAAGTAAACTGGTCAAAATCAATCCTGTATTTTACAAAAATGTCAATAAATTTGAAATTTATTTCTTTTTTGTTATGCAAATACCTGTATTGGCAGACATCCGGATGAGCCTTTTGTATCGTGAGTTGACACGAGCCTGTGCCGTCATAAGCAGTCGGATATCCAGGGTTTACGAAATAGGTACAGTTTTGACTAGTCGTCTGTCCGCACGTTGACATGACTTTTTAAAATAAAATAAAATTATGGTAATTTTACAAGAAATTTTTATTTCAATAGCATACATAAGCAGCAGACTCCAAAGGTCTTAGCACAAGGGCCGTTTGCTACTCCACCCCTAGCTGAACATTCTGCACTTGTCATACAGGTGCCGTTATCTCCAGTACTTGCTTGGCAGCCGTCATTACCAAATTGCACCACAGTAAATAGCGAAAGGACTGGAAAATTTAAAAAGTACTTTTGATTTTAAACCAAAAGTTTTTTTTTCGATTTTGCACTTACACCTTGAATCCTTTGTACTGGTTTTGAAATCAGAACTAGGGCCAGTTTTGAACTGTGTAGGTCTTTTTATTTTCCTTCTTTTTATTTTGACACCACTGCTAGATGTCCTAAACTGAGAGTCTCTCTGAAAATTATAAAACCACTGGATATTATTCTAAATATATTTTTTGTATACCTCATACACGCTTGGTGTATAGTGTATACAATTGCATGCGTGAAATGTTAATTAATAAAGCATAATACTTTTTTGAGTGAAAAAGTGAGGTAATGAATTCTCTAATTATTTAATTCCTTGTTTCTTTGTATCTTCACAACTTCGACGCCGATGGAAAAAAAAATGTTTCTTATAAAGCAAGAAACAGCACTATTTTAAAAATAGTTTAAACAAAATTCGTATAAAATAATCGCGAATAGGCAAACTAGAAAAAGAGAGAATAATGCATAAATTCGGGAAAGAAGACCGAAAACCCCTCTAAAAAAAGTTTAGTTAATTCCTCAGCAAACTCCTATTTTTTTAAATGAAGCATTAATAGTTTTATTTTAAACTAATCGGCAGTTGATCCCTCTCCCGAGTTGAGTTCTTCCGTGAGGATTTAAGTCCTGCCACTTCCCCACTGAAGATGGCGCAAAGCCGAAACGTGAGGACTTCAAGCCCGCCATAGAGTTGACAGGGCCAATAGAGTCCAAAAGATTTTCACCTACTCGCAGACCACCAAGCACATCAAACTTTAACAATGCGATTCAAATGATCTTACTTGAGATAATCTTGATGACAGGAACGACGATCCCTCCTGAGCAGCCGTTATCCAGGAAATGTAAGCCAGGATGAGAAATATTAGTGAAGTTTTGACTACAGCCTGTACAAGTCAAAATAAGAGAATAGGTCTTGTTTGTTTCGTTATTGTTTGTAATACCTTCATGTCCATTGTCGTGAATCAAAGTGAAATAATGCACAAGCCAGAATTGACGTGATGTATTTATACTGGGAAGTACAAAAGAAAGCTCTTTTGAAACAGCTCCCACTCCCATTGTCCAAAACCAGAACCTTGTCAAAAATTAATTAACTTTCTAGTGACAATTATATGACAGTATGTAATATATTTGAATGAATTTCGATGCAATCCAGTTTTCTTCAAAGCCCAATCGGCGCTGTCACGGGTTTTGACTTTGGCAAAGCGTGACGGCAGTAAATCAACTGTGCAAGTAGCATTTTCACGCCAAATTTACTTCGTCACTTTCTACTTAACATCCGGACTTACACGTGGATGACCAGGTTGGCGCGCCGAGGGTTAGGACCAAACTTTTTTTGTGTGATTCTACGCTCCAAAATATCCGACACGAATCCGTCACTTCCTGAATTTGGTGTCGCCAACAAATTTTGAAATTTACCGTTTTTTAATATTTCTATTTCGCCATTCTGCTTGCACAAATCAACTATGTTAATATATCATTTTACAGCATTTTTTTGTAGATTTCAATAAAAAATATAGTAAAAGCTATCAAAGTTTAATCAATAATTAAAAGTTCCAAAAATCAGATTTTTTCAAGTAAACTAGGTTGTTTTCTCTTAAAACTAATGTGAAATTTCGTTTTAGCTCCTCTAGAAACCCCTGAATATAAAATGATGCTTGAATTTAAATTTATCGATTTTAACCCCTAAAATTTTTCCGAATTTAAAGAAGTCATCGGAATATCTGATTAAAACGGATATAATTCACAATTGGCTAATAGGATTTTAGCTGTTGTGCTTATGTTAATTTACTGGAAAGAATGTAATTTATTAGCGTGAAAGGAAGGCGGTTTTTAACCTCACCCCGAGGAATGTTGAGTACTCTGAGGGAGTAAATGTAACTTCGTCAATATATCATTTTATAGCATTTTTTATGTAGATTGCAATAAAAATATAGTAAAAGCTATCGAAGTTTATGAGTAAACAAGAAAAAACCAAATATTTTTCCAGCAAACTCGGTCATAATGTTTTTACGTGAGACTAATACGAGATTTAGTTTAACACCCTAAATATAAATTCTAGTTTGAATTTAATTTTATTTAATTTTAAGATGTCTATATTGGAATATCTAATTGAAACAGCTGTAATTCAAAAACGTATAAAAGGATTTTAATGTCAAACAGACCGAGAAGAGAAACGTAGCTTTTTAACGACACATGTACCATAAAAATATATAAAAGATTTTTATAAGAAAATATACAAAATTGTAAAATTGTAAGTATATTACAATTAATTAAGGTTTTTAGTTGAGATAAAAAAGTCAGTGTCACGAGCGGGATTCGAACCCACGATCTTCTAGTTGCGGTTGAGATGGGAAGTTTGTGTGTCCGAGTGGATCGAAGTCAGGATAGCTCAAGTGGTAGAGTAGCGGCGTATCTAGCCGAAGGTCGTGGGTTCGAATCCCGCTCGTGACACTGACTTTTTTATCTCAACTAAAACCCTTAATTAATTCTAAGATATTAATTGGTCAAGCGGACCACGAAACTAGTGAAATTATAAGTATACTATAAATTTAATAAAATGAGCATAAATCGTTATTTATTGGTTAAAAATATTTTTTTATGTAATAATTTTATTGTTCGTTAACATAAAAACAAAAATGTTCTACGACGCAAAATATTATAATTTGGTGTGATTTACAAAGATAAATCAACAAAATACTGATTTTTTTGCATATTTTAACAAACTTTCTTTAAGTCAAGTAGGTCAGAAAATGGTCAAAACTTGGATTTGACATCATTGTCGTGATTCTAGCCTTACACAACCCTTAGATACCGATTTTCTAGGAAATGTAGTAAATAAATTTTTTGATGATAATTTCGATTCTGGGTGACTGACATTCTATACTGCAAGTTTTAACATCATTTTTCTCAAAATCTAGGAGACCGATTTTCATGGTTGATAATTCATTTTAAAGGAATTGTCAAGTGCATTTTACAACTATATCAAACATTAAAATCGGGCTATTATTTAGATTTTTAAAAAACGAGCTTAATTTTTGACAAATAATTTCCATATTTTGAGTATTTTCTTATAGAAATATTTTATATATTTTTATGGTACATACGCCGTTAAAAACCTACGTTCTTCTTCTTTCAAAAGGTCTGTTTCACATTAAAATCCTTTTAGCCGTTTTTTAATTATAGCCCTTTCAATTAGATATTCCGACAATGACTTCTTAAAAGTCGGAAAAAATTTAGGGGTAAAAAAATCGATAAATTTAAATTCAAGCAAAAATTTATATTTAGGGGTCTCTAGAGGAGCTAACACGAAATTTTATATAAATTTTAAGAGAAAACAATTTTTACGGCTTAATTTTCTTGAAAAAAATTTGATTTAAAAAAAATTTTTAGTTGTTGATAAACTTTGATAGCTTTTACTACATTTTTATTGCAATTTAGATAAAAAAAATGCTGTAAAATGATATATTCACATTGATGAGCAAGTAGAACGGCTAGTTCTCGGAAATCAGACCGATAAACCCAGCGTCACACAGGGGAGCGTTATTGGTCCCACCCTTTTATCATCTTTACTGTTGACCTTTCTGACACCCCAATATCATCATCACCACCTACAGGAACAATACCGCAATTTTGTTCTCTAACTCGAATCATATCCAAACTACCTCCAACACCCAAGAACACCGTGAGCTTATCAAAAAGGTGCGAAAGTTGTAGGACAAGACTGAATATAGAAAAATAATAGTCTTTCCCTCCACTGTACATCGACAGCAAAGATATACCGACTTTCATCCAAATCAAATACTTAGGGCTATACCTAGACAGCAAACTGACGTAGAATCGCCACACGAGACTTAAGAGACAACATACAACGACTTCTAGGACCAAAATTTGACTTGACATGGAAGACACGGCATGGAAACATACGAATTGGACATTAGAATTTTGGGACGAGTTCTCTTTACAGACCAGGGTTTTATTTTTTTTATTATTATTAATCTTTCCACCTTACCAATCCTTCAACCACGGTTTTTTCCTTTCCTCCATCAATTTCTTCATTTTTAACAAAGTAATTAAAAAAGAAATTACACCACTAAAAAGGTAGTACGTTTTCACAAATTTCCTGATCTTTAGGTTTGGAAATAGTATTTTAGAATCGCCGTAGTAATTTTTTCAACTTTGAAAAAATTTTTTTTTTCAAAGTTCTTGTTACTAAAACGCTTATTTCACAAAGGTTTACTAGTATTGTTAACATCTTATTGGAAATTTAATGTAGTTTTCAATTGTAAACAGATTTGTCCAAAACCGTTTAGTTTTGAAGCAAGGTCGTGAAATCTAAAAAAAAACAGGAAACGTGGAATAACTCCGAAACTGTTGAGATTCGGACCACAGTTAATTAAAACTTTTTTGTTCTATTTTAAAATTTAAATTTGAAAAAGTTACTATGGTGATCTAAACTACTATTTCCAAACCTAGAAACCAGAAAATTTCAGAAAACGTACTCCATTTAATATCCTTTTTAGTGGTGTAATGCTTTTTAATTACTTTTTTCAAAGATGAAGAAATTAATGAAGTAAAGGTAAAAACAGTGGTTGACGGATTGGTAATGTGGAAAGATAAACAAAAGTGAAAAAAGATAATAAAATTTTGATTAAATGACTGAAAACGTATTGAATCTTAAAACTCTTTTTTTTTCGTGGAATAATAATAATACAATAATCCTTTAAGCGTTGCAGTCGTGTTGGTAAATAAGAATACAATTTGCACTATTTCGGTTTCAAACCCAACTTAAAAATCATTTAATACATTGATTCAAAATTTCCTTAAGTTTTTTAATCTTTCTACCTTACCAATCCGTCAACCACGGTTTTTACCTATCCTCCATCAATTTCTTTGTTTGAAAAAAAGTAATTTAAAAAAAAAGAAAATACACCACCAAAAAAGACATTAAATGGAGTACGTTTCTAAAATTTGCTGATCTGTAGGTTTGGAAAGTGTAATGCCATAGTAGAAATAATAATTGGAATTAGTAATTTAGAATTACTAATTAATTAATTAGAAGTTTTTCAACTTTGATAAAAATATTTTTCAAAGTTATGGCTACTAAAACGTTTATTCCACCAACGTTTACAAATTTAGCATTGATAACATCTTACTGGACATTTAACGTGATTTGCAATGATATCGACGGATTTGCCCTTTCCAAATTTTCTTTAAGTTTTTTATTTTTTATTATTATTAATCTTTCCACCATATCAATTCGTCAACCACGGTTTTTTACTTTTCTTCCATCAATTTCTTTATCTTTGAAAAAAATAATTAAAAAAGAAATTACACCACTAAAAAGGATATTAAATGGAGTACGTTTTCTGAAATTTACTGTCTCTAGGTTTGGAAATAGTAGTTTAGATCACCACAGTATTTTTTCAACTTTGAAAAAAAATTTTTTTTTTTTTTTGGAAGTTCTGTCTATTAAAACGCTTATCTCACCTATGCTTACAAGTTTGGTATTGATCACATTTTATTGGAAATTTAACGTAGTTTTCAATGGTATAACGGTTTTAGTTTTTTGGTTATTATTGTTTTTTTTAAGCAAGTTTGTGAAATACTAAATTTTATCAGCTTCTATTAAATATATAAATACTCAATTAATTACCCACAATTTTTTTCGAAATGAAAAATTTGTGTCACAGGCGGGATTCGAACCCACGACTTTCGGCTTAATACGCCGCTGCTCTACCACTTGAGCTACCACTTCGATTGCCCAGGCCACTTCTCATTTCGACTACCCGATTTTATTCTAATTATAAGCAAATCGACTTTCGGCTTTGTGTTCACACACAAAAAGTTAGTGAAATCTTGAAAAATCAGAAAAAGTGGAATAACTCCGAAACTGTTGAGATTCGGACCACAGTTAATTAGGACGTTTTTGTTCTATTGTAAATGTAAAATATACTGGCAAAGTTTGTAACACGAGTAGCCGAACACTCTGGATTCATCAAATTATATATTATAACCAAGAATTGCAGACTGTAATAAAATATTGGGAAAAAACAGTTCAAGGAGAGTAGGATGAGATCTAATAATTTATTGGCAAAATTTGTAACACGAGTAGCCGAACACTGTATAATTATCGATTAACGGTCACTAATCACCACACACTCTGTATATATTTCAATTAATTAAAGTTTTTTGTTGAGATAAAAGTTAATTAATTGAAAGATATTAATTGGCCAAGCGGACCACGAAAACTAGTGAACTCTATATATAACTATTCGTAAATCGTGAGATGCGATCTGGTGTGATGTAGGTTTCAGAAAAACATTTTCTTTATCGTGCCAACGTTTCGATACACTGAATAATAAAGAAAAATTCACTTTTTCCACATCCTACATGTATTAGAAATGATAAATGATGGAGTGAGTGTGGTGTTCAATACTTTTTAAAAGGATAGTTCCTACTCACAGTAAGTTTTTTTTATGTAATTCATTATTTAAAATGGTTTTTTGGCATTTATTTTGTAAGAGAGTTGAGCAATTCTTAACATTTAATTTAGCAAGAACGAATTTAGGGGTTAGGTTTAATTTCAAACATTGGGAATTGAACCAGATTGATTTGTTAATCTTTGAGCATGAAAGTCTCAATTTATAATAAAGATTTAAAAGCACTTGTTTATTAACAGATTTTAAGTAATTGGATGTGATGTTATTGATTACGTTATAATCCATTACTGCTTTGATTAGCAAATTAATAGAAATGATAAATGATGGAGTGAGTGTGGTGTTCAATACTGTGAGTAGGAACTATCCTTTTAAAAAGTATCCTACATGTATTTGTTAAATTTAAACTATGTTTGTAAATCCCAGGCCCTGAAGATGATCCCAATAAAGATCGAAACGTTGGCACGATAAAGAAAATGTTTTTCTAAACCTACTTCACACCCGCATCTCACGATTTCCGAGCGAGCGACCGCATCGCTGGAATCTAAAGTGCTTAAATTTCGGCAGTGCGTTCTTATAATGACATGGATAGCCGCTAAGATTTTTTGAAATTCCATTTCTAAGGGGATCATATGAACAATTTTTTCACGTATAAACATAAGTGAACTGAAGAAGAGAATTGAGAAACGAGACATTTTATTACAAAGCCATAGCTGCATCCCATTAGAAAGGTGCATTAAAACATCCCGAGTAAAAGCTAGTAATATCATAGAGAGACCCTCAGGAGAAAGGTACCCACCATGCTGTTCGGTTCCTCAGGTAGCATTCCACAGTGGGTCACTGATGTTCTGGGATGGCATTTCCTTGGATCAAATTGGTTGTTGGTTGTCTGAGGAAGATCTCTAACTTCATAGATATGCTTACAAGACGTAATCGAAGGGCATGTAGTGCCATTTGCTCCCTGCAGCGATGAGTGATTCTTCCTAATGCAGGATAGTGGTTTGGAAATAGTAGTTTATAATCGCAATAGTATTTTTTTTTTAAATGTCTTATTTTTCCGAACAAACTTTCTTTTGGTACGTAAAATAAACCTAAATATATTAAAATTAAATGGTGATGGGTAAATTTTATTATGTGTATTGTACAGAGTATTTTAAACTGGTAAGCTTTTGCTACGTGTTGGGAAATATAAATGGTGTTCATAGAAAGAGGTATAAAACCGAGAAAGTGTAACCTAAAATATTTATTGTATAGTGAAAACTATTAGGAACCTCTTACGCAAGTGTTAAGGAAGTAGTTTTTTGTTATATTTTGTGTACATATAAACAATTAGCATCGTTGAGGAGAAACAATGAAAGAAAGCGGTTCGGAGATTGCTTTCCCGTCCATTGTCGACAGGGTCACAAAACCGTGAAAAAGTCAGACTTGTCAGTTGGTGTATTAATTTTTGGTAGGAAACGTTTCAATTTTCCTCTTCCTTCTTCACGGCCGTTTCTTGACAATTGGCCGTGTAACGTATTGTGGATTATCGTTTGAAAGCGGCGTGCGGATCTGGACAATAATGGGTATCAATTGGCCCAGTTGGCGGTCGACGTCGTCCGGGAACGCAGCTGGATAAAATGTGGTGGATTTGGGCACTCGTCGCATCCTACATAGCATTCTCGACTTCCACCACTTTTCTGGAATTTCAGGATATCGAAAACGGTACAGAAGATGCATTTTCAAATCGAGAAAATTAAACACATTAAATGTTTATATATTCGTATGAACCATTGTCCGATTCTCAACCCTTCAAGCAGAAATTGAGCTTTTTTTCCCAACTATCAACGGTTTTCGTCATAAATCTAATCTTAGCTTCTCAAGTATTCACTTTTGGGTAAATAAAAAAAAAATTGAAAAGAGCATTAAATTTCCTTTAAGAAAAATTCAACGTAATTTGGTTGTGTAACGTGTTTATTGTCTATTTTATGTGTCTTGTTTGATTTTTATGTTGATTTTTTGTTTTGCTTTTTTTATTAGGTGTGGACTGTTTTACAATTATTATATTTTTTTTTTTGGTGTGTGTTTAGTGTAAATTTTGTCCAATTTTTTCTGCTTTGGTTGTTCGCTATGTTTATTGTCTCCGTGTTTTATTTCATTTTGTACTTTTTTATTAAGTTTAATTTGGGAAATAAATTTTGCCCGGGGACAAAAAGTCGAATTAATAACATTAACCCCATTCCTCCTTTAAAACGTCATCAATGGTTTCCCATTTGGCATAAAATTTCTCCTTTTTGGTTTGAAGTTATTAAAGAAAACGGCCGCTAGAAAGCTCGTTAAACAAAATTCTTATAAAATTTGCCGAGCTCTACCGTGAATTTTTCCGACGAGATCGCAAATTTTAAACAACTAATTAATTAGTTAAATTTTCTTTAAGAAAGCACCGGTCTATAATTTTCATATTAATTATTGGTAAAAAACAAACGCTAAATCTTTTAAAAAGTGCTAAATTTCAAATTCAAAAAATTCATGGTAGAACTTGGCAAATTTCAACTTCTATTAAGCTTTTTTTATGTAAACCCTTTTCTTCAATTACATCTAACCAAACTGCAGAAATTTTATGCTAAATTGGAAAAAAGTGGTAACGATGTGAAAAAGGGAAAATGAGGTCCTGGGCCAAATTTTTCCCCAACTTAATAAAAAAGATCAAAAAAGAAAGAAAAATGAAACAAAACACATGAAAAGAGACAATGAACATAATGAACATCTAAAGCAGAAAAATTGAGCAAAATCTGTACACTGAACCAAACAAATAAAAAAAAGTTGTAAAAACCATCATCTAACCAAACTGCAGAAATTTTATGCTAAATTGGAAAAAAGTGGTGACGATGTGAAAAAGGGAAAATGAGGTCCTGGGCCAAATTTTTCCCCAACTTAATAAAAAAGATCAAAAAAGAAAGAAAAATGAAACAAAAGCAGAAAAATTGGGCAAAATCTCTACACTAAACCAAACAAATAAAAAAAAAGTTGTAAAAACCAACTTTAACCTAATAAAAAAGCTCAAAAAAAGAAAAATTCAAGTAATTTTTCTGCTTCAGTTGTTCACTATGTTTATTTTCTCTTTTTTATGTGTTTGGTTCCATTTTCACGTGCTTTTTTATTATTTATAGAGGTCATTACAACCCCTCAGGGTGTCAGTGTTTTTGAAAAAAGCATTTGTAAATATCAGGTTTGAATGCAGGCCCGCTGGATTCGAAGTCAGGACATTCATCTTAGTGATGAGCACCGTGTCAGTGCCTTAACCTTCGTGGCCACTGACACCACCTAGGTCAGGCTTTACAATCAATTTTTCCGAGGTTGCAAATTTTAAATTTAGCAGTTTTCGAAAGATTTATTTTTTATTTTTAACTGAAAATTAAAAGAAATTTTGCTAGGAAATCATGCTCTTTGCAATGAATTTTTTATTTTCCCAAAAATCAGGAGCTACGAGATTTATGACTAAAACCGTAGATGGTTGGGAAAAAAGTTGAACATCTGCAAAAGCGTTGAGAATTGAACCATGGTGCATGCATATTTTTTTGTCACTATGGAGGTGTGAAATTCACTGGCTAAGTTTGAGATGTGAGTATCCTGACATCCTGTATGTTTTATCTACAGAAAACAGTACTCAACATTTTTATAAACACAAGAAAACAAGAAGTTTTATTTTTAAATTAATTGTGTAATTATATAATTGATTTTTAAAGCAACTCATAACTGTAAGGGTCCTTGGTTTGAATCTCAGTGGCTTTACAAATGGTTTTTCTTACAGAAACACCAGAACCCAGAGTTGTAGTTTTGCCATTTGTTTTCTATCAGGTTTGAGGTTAAAGTATTGTAAATTACTATAATAATTAAACTGCTAAAATAAATTTAAAAAAATTAAATTAAAAATTTCCATCATATGGAGAAAATTTATTTATACTTTTACCCACCTGTTTTAAATAGGAAGTGTCCCCAGTTGTACAGACAAGAACGGAACAATACGAGCACTGGGCGAAAGCTGGCAACTGGAAGGCGAATGCGTATCATCACGCTGTCTAACCGTCAGCGCGACGAAAAGCCTCATTATGCATTACAAGTAATCATTTTTGCATAATTTTTACCCAAAACGTTGACTGAATTTTCTCCTTTTCTAGATGCCCTTCGGTGACAGCACAACCTGCAAACGGCTGTGAAGTGGTTCAAAATGTAAACCTTCCTCATCCGAATTGTTGTCCTGAATTAAAATGCTCATGAGGTTATGACAAAATCCCACCACCTTCTCAAAAAAATATTGTTTATTTATTGATGATTAATTAATAACAAATTTGTTTTTTTCCCCTAAAAGGTTTTAAAGATAAAATATTTATACATATACTTTTTTTAAAAATAAACTAATACTAACAAGGGATTGATATACTTATTATTAATGCCTACTGATAGCTGGTTTGTTGCAATAATCTTCAAATTAAAAATGACATAGAAGGCTTCTTTGCAAAGTGAGGCAATTATGTATTAATTAAATTATATTACTAGTATATTTTTCAAATTTATTCCAGATCTACGTTCAAATTTAATTACATAAAAAAGTGTAATAATTTCAAATGGTCTTTGAAAAAATCTGATTTTTTAAATTTAAAGTGCCAACTACAAAAATAATGGTTAAAAACAAAAAATAAACATGTATGTGTATATACATATTATTGCGTATACAAATGACACACGCACATACATTTTAGCATTTCTAAATCAGTAGGTTGGAGGAGAAAAAATATAACATAGAATACGATGGAAGTGTTTAACTTTTATTTTATATTACAACTTTCAGAAGGAAACATAATCTTATCAAGTAGAAAAGTCAATACCGTATTTCGGAGTAGAATATTCAACCAGTATCAGCATGTTCAGAAGATTCGGGAAGTTTAATAAAAGGTAAATCAGCTCCGCTCCACATAGAGTATAAGTGAGATGATTTTTGGCCGTGTGAAAGTTCCTGCCAAAAGTGACAAAGCCAAGTCAAAAAATGTTATTTTGAGTTGTTTTATTTTTTCACCTCAGAGCTTGTTGTAGTCGATTTGTGTAATGAATAACAAGAAGAGGTATCTGTTGATGAGCTGCTTTTCCTTGAAGTCAATGATGTCCCGTCTGTTTCTTCTCCGTCGCCACCCCACCTGCAAAAAATAAAAATAAAAATACTCGAAATATAACGTGTGAACCTATCGTACATTTACTCACCAACTCCCCCTTTGCATCATCCCTTTATGAAGATTGTCATGATTTTGCCCATCCGCTCTCGTCAGTATGACGCCTGGTAAATGTTGAGTGGTTGTATTTGCCGGGCGGCAAGAAAGAAGTGATATAACATCTTGTAAATCTTCTTGACTAGCTAAAGTTGTATGCCATACAGCATCTGCAGTGATCAAATAAAAATTTCAACTTTAATTATATTGTTATTCAGATATCGTGAGATGCGGTCGGGAGTGATGTAGGTTTCAGAAAAACATTTTCTTTATCGTGCCAACGTTTCGATCTTTTATTGAGATCATCTTCAGGGCCTGGGATTTACAAACAATGTTTACATTTAACAAATACATTTAGGATGTGGATAAGTGAATTTATACAACCTACATCACTCCCGACCGCATCTCACGATATCTGAATAACTATAGATTAACGGTCACTAATCTCTACACATTTAATTATATTTTCGACTATATAAATTTCGCATGTGCTATAATTTTATTTAAAAAATCAGGGATATGGTGAATGTGAAAGAAAGAAAAATGATTGGTTTCTTCATCAAGCCTCAGGACTGTTCACCAGGTTAAAATCGCAATGTAGAAGCCCTCTACTCAACTAACCTCATAAATTCATAATGGTTGAAGCTATAATTGTTAATATGGTGAAAATATTAGAGTCTTGATGAAGGGGATATTCCATGAAAGTTGGTGAAAGAACTGATTTTTTTCTTTCTTTCAAATTATAAGATTGATGAACAATATTTTTTATGTACAGTTACTGTTGGTTTTTTAAATATACAAATATTTATACACAATTAGTTTTATTTTTTATGAACAATTCCTGAATTTCATGTACAATTATTGGTTGTTTTTTTCAAACAGATTTTTTAAATATCTTTTAATGTAGAATGACTATTATTTAAGAATTACTGTTTTAATTTCTCACGTACAATTATTCTTTTTTTTTTTTTTTTAATTTTTTTTCATGTAGAATAACTATATTTTAAGAATTAGTTTTAATTTTTTATGGACAATTGTTCTTTTTTTAAATATATTTTTAATGTAGGATAACTATTTTTTTAAGAATTAGTTTTAATTTTTTATGTACAATTATTAGTTTTTTTTAAATGCAGAATAACTATTTTTTTAAGAATTGCTGTTTTATTTTCTTATGTACAATTATTAGTTGTTTTTTTAATAGATTTTTTAAATATTTTTTTAATGTGGAATAACTATTTTTTAAGAATTAGGTTTAATTTTTTATGGACAATTGTTCTTTTTTTAAATAGATTTTTAATGCAGAATAACTATTTTTAGTTTAGAGAGAAAACTAAAAGAATTAGGTTTAATTTTTTTATGTACAATTATTAGTTTTTTTTAAAATAGATTTTTTAAATATATATTTTTTAAATGTAGAAAACTATTTTTTAAGAATTACTACTTTATTTTCTTATGTACAATTAATAGTTGTTTTTTTTTTAAATTTAAATGCAGAATCAGAATTACGAGACCTCCTAGGAGGCCTCTCCCTGAAGGATCAGGGGAGTCACCCACCTTGGTGCCTGAGCGACTCCGAGGTTTGGCTCTGATCGGGCGCCATTGACTTCTTGGGTCATTTCTGCGCCCTTCCGTTCCCTAAAACTAGTCGTTCTCACACTCACTCACACGATAAATACATACATACTCGTATATACAAACCCAATCACACATCCATATCCTCTGAATAGAATCTGGGTCGGAGGGAACTCGATATTCCGCCCCGACCTGGCTTGGCAGAGCAGTGGTGGAGCCTTGAGATGATATGCTCCTCCTCCTCCCAGCATTCTAACATAAACCTAACCTAAACTTTAACCTATGAAATAAATGCGCCACCATATACAACCCATTATCCCAATATCTCTCAAAAGCCTACAAAGCTTTTCTTTAAACTCGCTGCCATGCTCGAGCATTTAATGTGGAATAACTATTTTTTAAGGAATTGTTTATTGTCAGATGTACAATTATTACTTTTTATTTAAATTTTTAAAATATTTTGTTAATGTAGAATGACAATTTTTTACGAATTACTTTATTTTATGTACTATTACTGTTAGTTTTTTAATAGACAATTACTTTTATTTTTTCAAGGTACAAAATTTTATTTTTTAAATATAGAATTACTGGTTTGTTGTGTATAATTACTGGTTTTTTATTTATTTATATTTTTATGTAGAATTACTGCTTTTTTTTTTACAATTACTGTTTTTTAATGTAGAATTACTGGTTTGTTATGTACAATTACGGTTTTTTTTAAAATTATTTACATTTTTTTATGTAGAATTACTGCTTTTCTATACAATTTTTTTTAATGATGTAGAATTACTGATTTGTTATGTATAATTCCTGTTTTTTTATTTATTTGTATTTTTTATGTAGAATTATTGCTTTTTTATACAATTACTGTTTTTTAATGCAGAATTACTGGTTTGTTATGTACAATTACGGTTTTTTTAAAAAATTATTTACATTTTTTTATGTAGAATTACTGCTTTTCTATTCAATTTTTTTTTAATGATGTAGAATTACTGATTTGTTATGTATAATTCCTGTTTTTTTATTTATTTGTATTTTTTATGTAGAATTACTGCTTTTTTTTATACAATTACTGTTTTTTAATGCAGAATTACTGGTTTGTTATGTACAATTACTGTTTTGTGTGCCCCGTATAGGGACCGAAATGGAATACCGCCGGATTATAGGAGAATGCTCGAGCATGGCAGCGAGTTTAAAGAAAAACTTTTTAGGTTTTTAAGAGATATTGGGATAATGGGTTGTAAATAGTATTTATTTCATAGATTAAAGTTTAGATTTAGTATATGTTAGAATAGGAGTATGCTGGGCAGCGGTGCAACATATTATTTCAAGGCTCCACCGCTGCTCCGCTAAGCCGGGTCGGATACCATCCAGATTCTAGACAGAGGATATGCATGTGTGATTGGGTTTGTATATAGGAGTATGAGTGAGTGTGAGAATGACTAGTTTTAAGGGCGCCGAAATGACCAAAGAGGTCGATGGCGCCCGACTAGAGCCCAACCTCGGAGTCGCTCAGGCACCAAGGTGGGTGACTCCCCCTGATCTATCAGGGAGAGGCCAGAGGCCTCGTATCTAGGATCTAGGTGGTCTCGTAACTTTATTTCTATTTGTACTGTTTTGTTATCTACACAATTACGTTTTTTAAAATTTATTTACATTTTTTATGTAGAATTACTGCTTTTCTATACAAGTATAGAATTACTTGTTTTTTTTTTTTTTAAATGTAGAATTACTTGTTTATTATGTACAATTACTGCTTTTTATTTATTTACATTTTTAATGATGTAGAATTACTGGTTTGTTATGTACAATTACGCTTTATTTTTTATTTACATTTTTTATGTAGAATTAATGCTTGTTGTTTTATTGTGTAGAACTAGTTTTTTTTAATACAATTACTTTTTTTAATGTAATATGAATTTTCGTTTTTTAAGGTACATAATTACTGGGTTTTTTATGTACAATTTTTAAAAAATACAATTACTGTTTTTTTTAATATTTATTATGTAGAATTACTGGTTTGTTATGTACAATTACTAGTTTGTTATGAATTAGTTTTTTTTTTTTTTTAATGCACAAATACTTTTCTTTTTTTCAAGTTACAAAATTACTTCTTTTTTAAAATGTAGATTAGTTTTTTTTTTTTTAATGTACAATTATTACGTCAAGATAATTCCGATAATCATACTTTAAGCCAGCTTACAAGCAGAATTGTTTTTAAACAGGATGAAAAATATAAGTCAGTGGGAAAGATGCGCAAAAAAAATCTGTTCAATGCACAGAGTGCTCATGATGACTACTAGCTGTTTGTTGGCCCATAAGTAATATCAAACAAAGTGTGTTTATAATTCTTGACATTCAAGTTCTTATCTTCATAAGACAAGTTGGCTATTTAACCAAATGCATAACTTGATAAAAAAAATATAAGAAGAGATATTTGTAGTAATGATCTTTTCAACATTTGTATTTTTTGAAAACATGTTTTTAAGTCAGTTAAAATCATGGAAATAATAATTTTTGAACATAACATGTCCAACCTGGTGTTGTTGATCTACTCTTCTCTCCACTTGCAGGTAATGCAAGTTTCCATGGTATAGACCACCTTCTTAATGTAGGATCTGGTGGAGCCTTATCTCTGCCTGCTGCAGCAGCTTCCGACCAACGCCTTTGAGGAACTGGAACCTTCAGAATTTATTTAAACACAGCACTTAAAGATTCATACGTCATATTGTACTCACAATCGGATTTCCAATAATTGGAAAACACCTAGCGACAGCCTCTGCCTCACGACTGGAATGAGGAGGGATGCAGGAGCAGCCCGACATTGTCGAGACCCATTCACAACAAGCTGAACTGAATTGGTATTGTAGATTGAGCAGTCGGATCAACCCACTGCAAACAACACCTTGATTTATTTCAGCCTGGTCCTGATCTATCTCTGGAGCCAGATGGGCTTCTTGGAGCGATGCGACAGTCTGATTTCTCACAATTGACACTGCCGAATTCGTCGCAAATGACAACCTGTCCCACATCGCTTTACACCGGTTGAGTCGACTCTTACAACCACAGTTGGAAGTCGAATTGAGAGAATTTATTGCACTGAGACTTCCTGTCAATTCGCTACCAGATACACACAGCATTTGAAGCACCTTTAAAACCATCATTGTACATTTAATTCAAAAAATGTTAAATCAACTAAAATATCAAGATATTTATCGGTAAAATACCTTGAGAAATGTAAGCCAATTTGCCATGCAATCTGTAACTTCTTTTGAAGAGAATCGCATTCCTGCAACTCCATCCCTTACATCTGACAACTCCTGGTTTTCTGACATGCTCAGCAATCTTAATAAAATGAATTAATTTATAGGATATAAAATACTTGTTGAAACAACTTATATAACAAAACCTGTCAATAAAGGTAAAATTAATGCAGAGAGAGGAATGATTTTTTTATTGCTTCAATCCTCTCAAAGAACCGCCAGACACGAGTAAGAAAACATGCTCTTTCATTGTAAAAATTTCTATTCTAATTCCAAGGAGATTCTTCTGTTTTGAGATGTTAAGGTCACCCATGTATATATGTACTGCTTTTAAGAAAATTAGCAAAATCTCAATACAAACTGAATTAGCGTACTTTGGATACTTTTACTCTAAACGCTGAATAAAATTCTATTGCAGTATTTAAAATCAATTAAGTGATAATTCGGTTGTACATTCTATCAAAGTGAGTAAGGCAAAGCCTCGGTGAAAAACTGGATAAGTCAAAAAATCCAACTATTCAACATTGTGATTTTAAAGTGTACACCTTTTGTACAAATTCATTTTTGTAGTAACTTTTTTTATTGCACACATTTCATAAAATTCAATGTAGTATATTTTATGAATATTTTGTATAAATATGTAGTTTATTTTATTTTATGAGGGTTCGCAATAGCTGAGGTGATATCAACCCTTGGGGTATCGGTGTTTTTGGAGGAAAAAAGCCAATTTGTAAGTATGCCAGGTTTGAATGCAGGGCCTGGATTTGAACCCGGGACCTTTAGCTTACAGTGATGAGCACTATGTTGCCTTAACCATTGCGGCCATCAACATTCAATATAGTCCTAGTAAATTTAGATTCTTTAATTTATTTAATTATATCTTGACTTTTTAGCCATATTTTATCTAGTTTTTAATACTTCATTCAACTGAGTTGCCAGGTTGACTCTCAACTAGTTACTTCCGAGTGAAGGCTTTCTTGGCTCATTTCACACCAGGCAACTAGTGGAATCAACTTTTCACATCAGGAGTTCAGTATGATGTTAGAACCCAAGAAAGTAGCACGTCTTGTGCTTGTTCTTTTGTAAAAAAAAAAAAAAAAAGTGCTTGTTCTTTTGAAAAAAAAAAAAAATAAAAAAAATAAGAAAACGACCCCTCCAAGCTTCATTTTTTAAAAATTTTATCCCAATATTCTTTACATCTCATGTTCTATATTGCAGGATTAATTTGAATCTCTTCAATAAACTGTTCCACAATGAAATTTGAAATAGGGATGCTTTCCATAATGAATTCAGTTAAACCAACTAAGCAATTGGTGTGAAGGACAAATATCGTTGTCTTTTGAGATGAGTCAATCTGCGGGAGAACATTAGTAGCACTTGTGCCTGCCGGCGAATTCCTTTCTACTCGATGCCTCTCCACTAGTAGAGTCGTCTAGAGAAGTTCTACTCAATAAGCCTTCCAACAACTATTTTAAAGCTCACCTATAAATTATGGACAATTTAGACTCCTTATCAAGTAAATCGTGGTGGAGTAAGATTAAATGATTGTCTCTAGCCACCGTACTTTGGCTTGACCACTACTTTCTCTTCAGAGACTCCCCGGGGCTCTAACCGCTGTATACCATCGAGGGTAGAGTGAGGCAGGATTAACATGCAGTGTTCAACAATAAAAGAAGCGAATGGGATCACAGCTTCCAGAAGAACTTCCTCAACGTATGTGCAGTCAAAGATGCATTCTGTTTAATAATGAGTTTGATACGGGCATTCATTCCCCCCCATACCATAACTGTCATTGAAAATGTGATTCATGTATGGCACATGGAGTGAAGCATTCTCTGTCTTTCTCACACACGAACCGAGTTATCCGATTGTCACAAACCAAAACTCATCTGTGAAGATAACAGTCTTCCATTGTTCACGAGTCAGAGCAAGATGCTAATTTGCAAATTCCTTTCTATTCGATTTCTCTCCAGGAGTAGAGAACCTGATGCAAGACCTCTAGAGACTAGGCTGTTCTCACGAAGCCTTCTAATAACTGTTTTAGAGCTCAACCTTACATTACGTTCGGATTACTTGGAGATCGTGAGATGCGGTCTTGTGTGATGTAGGTCTAGAAAAACATTTTCTTTATCGTGCCAACGTTTTGATCTTTATTGAGTTCATCATCAGGGCCTGGTTTTTATAAACATTGTTTAAATTATACAAATACCTTAAATTACAAGATATGAAAATGAATTTATACAATGGTGTACACAAAATTTTTTAGGTTTAATCAAATATTTGTACTCGCTGCCATGAGTTTAAAGAAAAACTTTTTTGGTTTTTAAGAGATATTGGGATAATGGGTTGTATATAGTATTTATTTCATAGATTAAAGTTTAGATTTAGTATATGTTAGAATAGGAGTATGCTGGGCAGCGGGCAACATATTATTTCAAGGCTCCACCGCTGCTCCGCTAAGCCGGGTCGGATACCCTCCAGATTCTAGACAGAGGATATGCATGTGTGATTAGAACAACTAGAAAAACATTTTCTTTATCGTGCCAACGTTTTGATCTTTATTGAGTTCATCATCAGGGCCTGGTTTTTATAAACATTGTTTAAATTATACAAATACCTTAAATTACAAGATATGAAAATGAATTTATACAATGGTGTACACAAATTTTTTTAGGTTTAATCAAATATTTGTACTACTTGAACAAAAGGATCTTCAGTGAGGTCACAACAGAAACGACAATTCTTTAAGTTTTTGCTGAGCTTTCGACGATTATATCATCATCATCTTAAAACTTAAACAATTGTCGTTTCTGTTGTGACCTCGCTGAAGATCCTTTTGTTCAAGTAGTTCAACACGCAGGTCGATACATCGTCTCATCTTCAAACTATTTGTACTCACTCAAGTGTGTTTTCTGTGTAGATGTGTCATAGTTGTGTATCGTGTTGAGAGCGTTAGTGAGATATTAATGTTTATTTGTTTATATATAATTTATTACGTTCAGCCATACGCCTATCAACGAAGCCATTAAATGACAGTACCGTAGTGCGGTAAGAGCAATAAAACAATCGTCTCTACCTGTTGTACATCAAGACCCAGGATTAACAGAAAGCTGTGCCCGAAATTTGAATCAAATGGGACCACAGCTTCCAGAAGAACTTCCTCAATGTGCCGTTCTGTACGATAATCAGTTCGGTAGGTCACATTTCATACCATGCCATAGCTGACTCTTTTTTAAACTTGCAGCGAAGTACTCTCCATGTCTTCCTCACACACGAACCAGGTTATCCGATTGCCACAAACCAAACCAGCACTCATCTGAACCCAACGGAGACATCAAGAGACAAAGCTGTTCTCACGAAGCCTTTTGGTACTGTTTTAGAGCTCAACTTTATATTACATTGACGAGTTGACTACCTATCAAGGAAGCCGTTAAATGACAGTTCCAGAGTGCAGTAAGAGCAATAAAACCATCATCTCTAGATGTCGTACAATAAACTTCCAGCTCTAAACCGCTATAGAGCATGGATGGTTACGTGCAACACACCCAAGACAAAGCATCTGCCCAAGTGAGATCTTCTTGACTTAAAACCACACTTTTAAGAAAAAACATTTATTCAAGTTGGCTCTGCATGAAATTGTTCTTATTTTTCTTTATAGTTAATCTAAAGAGTGTTAAAAGGATTACAATTAATTAAGGTTTTCAGTTGAGATAAAAAAGTCAATGGCACGAGCGGGAACCCACGATCTTCGGCTTGATACGCCGATGCTCTACCACTTGAGCTATCGTGACCTCAAGCCGAAGATCGTGGGTTCGAATCCCGCTCGTGCCATTGACTTTTTTATCTTAACTGAAAACCTTAATTAATTGTAAGATATTAATTGGTCAAGCGGACCACGAAACTAGTGAAGTTAAAAGGATTACTTACACTTTATAAAGGTTATAAACTAGTTACTTTGGAAAATAAAGAAATAAATAGAAATGTCAGAAAATTTTTTGTATTTGAGTGTATTTCGGTTAGCAAATAGTCAGGTATAATTGGAATTTTGGTGTGACTTTTCAAGGTATCTTAAAAAGGCAGATTGCGTTTAATAAATGGTGTCGTTGTCGACTTTAAAAATTGTACAATGTGTCAGGGCTCAAAACATACTGGAATACGCATTTATTTTGTTGAAATTTGACTTATTCAGTTTAGCGTCGAGGAGAATTTCACATGGATCTTAAGAGGTCGACATAGGTGCAAAAAGCGTACCTTTCGTTGGGATGTGCGAAGCCTGTGGAATGAAGGTTGGAATGTGCCCTCTGTTTCGTCGCTATAAAGGACGGCGTACGGACTGAAGGAGGTTTTCCACGATTAACGACAGCCGATGGCGTTTTCTTCATGTTAGCCTTCGAATATGCACAAAATCGACATTTTCCGTCCGATTAACAGTTCTCATGATAAAACCTTTGCCGGATCACACGTTTCGGCCCCCGAGAGAACGTCCCTGGTGCGTAGTGGGTCTCACCCCGTGATGTCTTGGAACAGGCCCGTCGTTAAATACTCGCCGGCGAGTTCATCACAGAGACGTCCGCCGGTTCCGCGCATTTCGTTTCGAGTCGAATCCAACGGAAAACGGTTTAAACGTCCGACACGAATCCAACTCCGACTGTGCGCGAACGCAAAACGAAAAAAAAAAGTTCACTCCCTTTCTCCTTTTTGAAGAGAGGAAGGACGACGAACCTGCCCTCTAGCAACCTCCCCACCCTGAGAGCCCAGTGTTTCAAGGCAACCTTGGCTATAAATAATAATAATAATAAAATATACATAAACATAATAAAAATTTATACTTTATATTCACCAATTTATTAACTTTATTAACTCAACCCATTTACATTATTAATCATACTAATCTTTCAACAACAATGAAACATTTGACCCCCCTCCACAGAACATAAGATCGGTTAAAAAAATATATAATAAAAACATTATTATTATTTTCCCCAATGTTTGTTTCGAAGAGCACTTTTCAGCTTTCTTAAAATTATCGGAATTTATAATGAGATTTACGCTTTTTCCCAAATTCTTATACCTTTGAATGTTTGTCTGCTAGTATTTGAATGACAATCCTGTGTGCAAGATTGATCTTTTTCTGAAATTTTTGAGTCTGCGGAGCGGAAAAATGAAATAAAAGAAAATACAAATTGCGGGTTTATAAACTACAATGCCCAATTCGCAATTTAAATAAGGCAAGGTAGCTCCCTCCAAAAAAAGTGTTATTGTGTTTTTATTATTGTTAAATAGCACGTGTATTTATAGCATTTGAAGGGAAGAATAAAAGGATAACGATGAGCCAATACTCATGCTAAGACTGTTGCTAGTCTGACTCCATTGTTATTATTATTGGCCATACAAGCCTATAGGAAATGTTTAAATTATGATTTTTCCTTCTAGAAGGTGGGATAACAGGTCATCTCAAAAAAACCACAACTAGTATTTACCCACACGTTTCGGATTTATTTTAATCCTTCCTCAGGTGAGTTAACGCAATGGTTAAAACAGTGGTCGTCAGCCATTAATATTTTATAACAGTTTATTTTCAAAAAGAGCCAGTGTGGTACATATTCAGGCTCCGAACAAACGTTTTAATATTCGAACCCGTCGCTTAAATTGGTCCCAAATGTTCTCGATTGGGTTCAAATCTGGACTTCGAGCTGGGCACACCGAGCACTCAATTCCAACCTCATTTAGGTAGTCATCGCAACACGTGTTCTATGGGGCCATTATCCCACATTAGCAAGAATCTCTCAGCAATGTGGGGAGGGGGAATGGCACTACGTGTTCTTCCAATATGTCTTTAAGCATCTCTGTGAAGTTAGAGATTTTCGCACAACAACCAATTCGGGGCGTCCAAGGAAATGCCACTCCAGAACATCAATGACTCACCGTGGAATGCCACCTGAAGATCCATCAGCCGGGCGTACCTTTCTCCCGAGCATCTCCATATAAAATTACGCACGAACTCCTGTTTAAAGTACACGAAAGCATAACGAAAGAAGATACGCATAAAATTACACTTAGTGGTTGTTTTGACAATACAGTCATTAAAACATCAACCAATAATTTTTTTTAAAAATTTTTATTTTACGAGGGTTCGCAACAGCAGAGGTAATATCAACCCTCGGGGTGCCGGTGTTTTTGAAAAAAAAAGCCCATTTGTAAGTATGTCGGGTTCGAATGCAGGGCCGCTGGATTCGAACCCAGGACCTTTACCTTACAGTGATGAGCGCCGTGTCAACGCCTAAACCGTTGCGGCCACCGACGCCCCTGAACCAATAATTAAAATTAGTGATCACACCTTAATTAAATTAAAATAAAATATATTGAATATAAGTTGATGATTCTAAAAGCAGCAAAGCGTGATAAAATTCTAATCCTTTTAGCCTAAACTTTCAGTCCACTTGGGGAAAAAATAAACAAGACGCGTAGTGTAAAAGTACAGGAAACAGTTAAGTGAGATGTTTACACGTTTCAAGTTATGTTTCAACTTGAAAGGAATGACTCACAACCTGACAGGAAGTCTCGACTTGAACCGCAAAAGTTTGACTGGTTCAAACTTCAGCGGATTAGCTGAACAGTTGAACATCTATGTTGAACCGAAGATTTTACGGCAGATTTAATTCAAATAAAGTTAAATCGTTCGAAAGCGCCTTTAAAAGCATAAATGTTGTCGACCGTTTAGGATAAATTGATGACTGTAATGAATCCGTTACTTTCTTTGAAATAACCGATTTATATTAAATGGAGATTGGAGGGAAATTGTTTTAGTTCTATTAGTCCAAGAAATGGAAATTATCGGATTTATTGGTGAAAACGTTTTTGGCATAAAAGTTTGTAAATTTCTCAGCCTAATGATGACTCGATTTGATGACTTTAAAAATTTAGATTTTAGATTAAATGCATCGAGTTTTATCGTAAAAGAAATTGCCAACGTTCCAGTGATGAGTAAAAAAACAAAATTAAGACGGTTGGGACCAAATATAAGAACATTTAATGGTTTGCTAATCAAACGTTGATCAATGTTTATTGAAACATGTGAAAAAAAAAACTGATTCAAATCGCTTTCAACTTTTGTTGATTAATTAAAGGTTTGCTCGGTTCAGAAGCGGGAATTTTGATTTGGAAGACGCAAAGCGCTCTGGTAGTCCTTAACCTTGACCAAATTCGATCGTTTTTTTTTCTCAAAAATTAAGCACACTGAACGACACGAGTAATTCCAGAGACACAACATATTTCATAGAAGCGTTTCAACCCATCTGAGAACAGCTGGATATGAATGTCGGAGCGACATATAGGTTCCTCACATGTTGACAGAAGAAAAACGCATCCTCTTTGCAGGATACCTTGTGTAGAGGGTGGCGGAGGAATATCGAGTACTTGACTGATGGTATGGACATAAGACTGAATACCTGGCAAGTCCCTCATCCGACCCAAAGAGGCAAAGACCTATTAGTCTACTTAGCTCTGTTAGTAAGATATTTGAGCGTAGTATGCTGCCTTCTTGCGTTATGTCATCTACTATCCTGGAAAATTTGGTAGAGGTAGATCCTGGCCTGAAACCAAACTGCTGAAGCATGGAAGGAAGCAAGGGCTGATCCAGGTTGGTCATCAGGAGGGGGTAAACAATTTCGACTTATTTTTTTAAAGGCACAGGGGATCTAAAAACGTGCAAATCGGGAAAAAATTACACATCGTTTTTCGCCCCAATGCAATTTTTTCTCCTCCTTCAAAAGAAAAAACTGAAAAACTTGATTTAAAAGTTTCAATAGTTTAATTTCAAAAATAATCATAATTTTCATGTTTTTAGCCTCCAACATTAACGAAAATGAAAAATTAATCACCAACTTAGAGGTGATCACATCGAGAGATCCAATAAAACGATTAGAGGCAGAAAAGCACCAGAAGGACATTTCTATTAGCAAAAAAAAATCATGGTCTGCAAAGTAATATTTTAGCACAAAACACAAGCGAACAACATGGTTTTGATCGATATCCAAAAGGGCTTTGTCAATGTTTAACATAATGATATAGAACGATGTTGGAATATAGCTTCCCTCTCTACACAATAAAAATGGACTACTCCTAACTCTTATCCTGATAATTCCGGATCTGCTTTCGATCATTCCTTTTCCAATCGATAGACATTGTAGCTGGTGTTCCTCAAGGCTCTATCCTTGGACCCATCCTTTTCCTAGTATATTTCAACAAAATACCTCGCCCTAAGAACGACAAAAGGTCTACGCTGGACGGTATTTTTACAAACTGTCTGTCCTAAAGGCCGAATCTACTTTCCAATGTAGTGGGGGGCGGAGGTGATCCAAGAAATGACGTCAGACCTCTTCGAACTGGAGGTGGGGGAGTAGTGTGGGTAACAATTGTCTGCCTAAGTGCTAACATAGGTGGACCCAGTAAGTGACCTTGTGCCGGTTCAACACGCGTTCGCCGATTTGCAGACCCAACTAAAACGATATTCCTTTAGTCGTAGAGACTAATATAATACATTTGTAAAATAGTTTTTCACAAAAATGTCTTGAATGAAATCTAAACCTGCGAGGGACAGACCAAGTAAAGTGCGCAGATCAGTTTAACACTTGCAAAACTGATTAGATACTTCTTGTACTTTGACAGCCGACTAAAAATAAACTTCTTATGTTCAGGTTTATTTCTTCATTATTTTTAAACGTCTTGTTAAAGGGGTAAATAAATAATACTTTGGCCTAGTTATTTCACAAATTATAAAATTATTAAGACGAGTAAATTATTTTGTAATGTTGTTGAAAGTTGTTAAGTGTCCCTTGAAAGGGAATGTGGGCAAGTTTATGTCCTCCTCGAATGGCCCTAAGTGTTTTTATGGCGGGTGGTTTCAAATACACAGTCATGTGTCACACATCAAGTTTGTAAACGTACAATATTGCTTTCACAATTTCTAGATTTTAATCAAACGGCTGTTTTGCGACTTGGTGAACCAACTTCGTCCGTTTTAATAAATTGGGCACGCTTTCGGCCCGCCGGATATCTGAGCGTTGAATGGCAATAAGAAAAAGAAAGCCTATACATCGAGAAGGAGGAACGCATTTTGCGTGATACACATGCAAACATGCTGCACCCTACGCGTACAAAGTCTTTCGTAATTAAGCTAAGAATTTACGATTTAAAAATGACTCTTTTAGTAACAGTTATACTATTTTCGTGTCGAATCATTGTAAGTTTGGATTTATTTTTAAAAATCTTCAGTTATAATCTCAAACCTAACTGCTCACGGACCAAACGCGGTACCTGAAATCCTATGCCACAGACAAATTTACGTTAAAAGTAGATATGAAAGGCCAGTCCTTACTTTAAATTTTTTTAATTGTAATGTGGAGTAAGGTGATGATGTAGAATGAAAATGAAATGAAAAACTGTTATATTTACAATATAAACCAAAATTTAATAGAGAGAAGAAAAACATAATAGTAAATAGACAATGGATTGAAAAATCCTTCTGCCGCAAGTCGCCATGTTAATGTAAATAACAATGAAAATTCTGTATGCATTTAAAAAAAGAGAAGATGAGAGAGAGAGTGTGAGAGAGAGAGAGCGAGAGAGAGGGAGTGAGAGAGGGAGAGGGAGAGGGAGAGGGAGAGGGAGAGGGAGCGAGAGGGAGAGAGACAGAGAGAGAGTGAGGGAGGGAGAGGGAGAGAAGGAGAGAGAGGGAG